AAACACCAAAATGCTAGCCTAGTAGCGGCCTATCACAAAGAAGCTTTGGACTTTAGACCAGAAGGCATCGCGGTCCCGAATCAAACACCCCAAAGTGCAAATTCTTAAGTGGTACCCAGAACACATCGAGCGCAAAGGATCTCTAGGATCTCTAAGCCTTCAAACTTTGAACAGGGCTTTGGGGCATATTGTTACAGCGTAGATGCATGCAGGACCCCCTCCCGAATAGTTTCATCCAGGCGCATTCAAAAACTGTGAAATCCGACACGCCTCCCGAGCTTCAACGTGACACTGAAGCTCTGGAGCTTTTAGGCGGGATTGGGGATTTCAGAGTCTCGCGGTGTAGGCTTTGGGAGATAACTCTAAACCATGAGCGCTGTATACTCCCTATTGGTCTTCGATGACCCCATGAAAAGGTCCTACAACCTAAGAGCCCTTCTTCGCGCTTCGCCTTTTTGAGCTGCTTCTCCCGCGAGGGGCCCCGCTGTCGCCGAGGCGTTTCAGCCGGTGGCGGGGGTGGCCTCAGGTCTCAGGGAGTTTTCGAAAATAGGGGACCCTGATATAGCACCCTAAGTAAGAGGATCCTTATTATAAGGACCCCAGAATAAGAGGGCGTGTAAAAAGGGCTCCTCTAAGATCTTGGGGTGTGTAGAGGGCTCCTACATCTCAGTTGTATGCCACAGCATCCGGAAGACGACCCAAATCCAAAAAGGGCCGACGAAAGCACCTACCTAACAAACCCTCATAGTCGCCTGAAGCAGTGGCCAAACAGCTCCTTCAGCCTCGAAGCTACCTTAAAACACATCGCATAACACAGGCGACGCGTGTCGATCCCTTCAACCCTACTTCACGGTAGATTCCAGGGTGTCAACTGGGCTCTGTGGACGTCTCCGAGCTTCGGACCACCCAGGCTCGGCACTCCTGTTACGAAAACGGCTTCTGGGTTCTTCAAGGGTTCATGTCACGGCAAAAGAAGTGCGGTAGGTGGTCCAGGCTCAGGTTTCTCAAAGGGGAACCGCTTTGGGTTTGGGGCTTAGGGTTGCAGGTTCTGGGTTTTACTTCGGGGTCCCAAAGAGAGTTCGAAAAGCTTCGTCCTCGTGGCATTGGCGCAGAAGCCCTTGCCTCACAGCTTGAAGGGATCAGAGCTTCAGGGTGTCCGAGGCGGTGCTCGTTTCAGTGGACTGAGGGTGTAAGCAGATTCATGGCGTAGTTCGGGGTTGGGCTTTACAGGGGTCTCGCAGTTCCCACACAGGAAGCTTGAGTTTGCGGCTTTCGCTCTCTTTGTCAAAGAGCCCTCGCCCACAGAACTTCTGCTCTCGGATCCTGAAAGGCCTGGGCCTGGGCCCTGGTGGGTTTTTTTTGGGAAGTTATCGAGCCCCTGCTATTTTGCAGAGAACCATAATAGTAAATAATTCTCAAAGGGCTTAAAGGACAACTCTAGACAAACTCTAGAGCGAAACTCTTCCGGCACTGAGCTGCGAGAAACACATCTCGCTGAGGCTCGGCTTTTTGCTGAAGCCAGCACCATCTTAACAAGAGGCCAGCGCGCCCGTCTGGAAGTGAAACCCCTGTGTAAATCTCCGCACTGACACCCAAACCCTCATGTTCTTGTTGCGGCTTCCAGCCCCCGACCCTCTGCATTCCTGCGTCTTTCGAAATCCGGATGCGCTCTGCAATCCAAGACCTCAGAACACCCGAGAAACTTACACCATGGAACCTTGGCCGCCAGCCCCTCACGAAGCACCACAAACCACCACCTACTAAACCCTAAACTCTCACGCCGAAATAGGGAGTTTCCGAAAATAAGGGGGTACCCTATATTGGGGTCCTTATAATAAGGATCCTACTATTGAGGATACTATATTAGGGTCCCCTATTTTCGGAAACCCCCAAATAGGGAACTGCCCCCCAAGGAACTAAACGCGCTCTGGCTCTGGGGCCGCAGACTCAGCTCGGGCCCGAAGCCGGGGAAGAGGACCTCCAAGGCGAAGTCGCAGTCGGCCTCGGTCGACTCAAGGGCCGCACCGCTCAAGAAGCCGCTGCGTCGTCGTCCCTGCTTCGTCCTTTCGTCCTTTCTTCTCTTCTCCTCTTCTCGTCTCTTTCGTCGCCAAGCGCTCGACCCCATGCATGAACCACAAGCAGTTTTTTCTCCAGGACCCGTCCTGTGGCCCGGACGTGAATGAGACCCCGGAACTCCTTGAAGTGCGTCACGTCGTCCGGCACGTGAGCGGGCCGAGGGGCCGCGAGCTCCTCCACTGGGATGAGGTGATGATAAAGTGCCCTTGCGGTTGAGCGCTTGAGAGATGGGCAAGATGTTCGGTGCTGAAACTTCGAAGATGATTAGGCTGTAGAACGGGTTCATGTCCAGTCCAAGTGGAAGCAAGATGAAACCGAAACCCCAGCCACACTGTCCTTTTTCCCATCATCCGAACCCAAAAGCAACCTACAGAATGACGCTGCCCTGCGCTGAGTTGAAAGCTTAAGGATCCGCGAAACGGATCCCTCCTCTGCCTTTCATGCGCGTTTGTACATTAAGCGGCAATGTGGAATCCGACGATGCCCTAGAGCACCAATGCCCGCAACAGCTCTACACGTTTCATCACCTATAAAGCCGGTGAACACATGTGAAAACCCCCTGAAAACATTTAAATCGTGCTCTGAACTTCCGAAAGGCTTCGTAACACCGCAAGGACACCCTCAAACAAAGAACCCCCCGAATAGCCTGAGAGCCTTTACTTCAATCCGAATGGACGTGGCAGCACTCTGTCTTTGCACCTGCCTCGCTTCTTTGGGTGCAGTTGTTAGGCAGCGGCGGGTGTGAACCCTCCTGGGGACCGGGGGCGCAAGCTTAAGGTTCTGGGGTTGCTTCAAACACTTCGCAGGGCAAGCTGGCACGGCGCTCTCACCTCGCAAGCCAATTCCGTTCTGGACTTTGAACCTTCGGCCCGCACTCTTCAAACGGAAACCCCTGTCAAGAGCCTTCGGAGGCTGCCCTGCAAGCGCCATGAGCTGGTCAGTGTGAGCCTGGTTTGATCAGATCTTCGGATTGGGGCTGTTGGTTCAGGTTGTGTGCAGAGGAGTTTGGGATTTCGAGTGTGGGGCAGCGAGTTTCAGAAGCTTTGCTGGCTAGTGCCTGGCTCGATCAAGATGCTTCAGGTTGCGTGGCTGTTTTTGGTGCAGGGTCGAAGGCTTTCAGAGTGTAGGGCGTAGGATTACCGATGCCAGGACTGGTTGGTTGCTAGAGCACACCAGAAAGGATCACGATCTTAAGATTTTGGCCAGAGCTTAGCATCTACTTCGCCAATGGGAGCAAAAGCACTAAGACCAGTAGATGATTGTAGCTGGCATGGGAGCGACAATCGCAGAAAGCATTCCCATCTCGATAGTCGTGATGCTGCTTTTTCTTTCGACCCCCGAAAGTAACTAGGACAAGTCTGCAGGAGGGCCTGCCGTTCCCGGAGGTCGGCGCGGATGTCCGCACGCCTGTCCTCACCCATTTCGGGGCGCGTGAGGGCCCTAGGCGCAAACCTCAGAATCTCGAGGACCCATGAAATCCCCAACGGAGGCCCCAGCCAGGACCCACAGGATGCCTGGACACGGAAGGCGAAAGGCCAGGGCTTGGGGGAGTTTGGTCTACGCCCGTAATAGGAAGAGGATTTGGGATGTATGTTATAAAAGTACTAGGCGACGACGAGTCTCCCACGTAGCAAACCCAAACTACACATTCGCAAAAGCCCTGCGTATAACCTACTTCATCATACGGGGGCACCCTACTAAAATCCGAGAGCCGCCCGGGGGTCCTTCTGATACTGCTTGTAGGCCATCTTCCAAGTCTCTTCGCCCTGAATGCGCGAGACGATCTGGCGGATGGCCTGGGCCCCGTTCTCCCGAATGCTGCAAGGTTTCCTCTAGGGCCTAGGGCCTGCCCTGGAGACTTGCTTTCAAGAGGGCTGCAGTTTTTTGGGCTGTTCCGGTCGAAACGCCTGTGCTGGCAGTGCAGCTTTGCATCCACTGCTCCAGTCTGGCGAGTGTGCACCCAAGCTATATCTAGCAAAATGGCTTCAGCCTGATACCTTCGGAGCTCGTTTCTGGCGTTTCAATTCGAATCCCTGGACCTGAGAGGAGCCGAAGATCCATGGCAGAGCTCGGCTGAGGTCGTATTTCAGCTTCAGGACTTTTTGGTGACTTTCGCACGGTGCGGTCTTGTAAGGTTTGTGCAGGGTGTCAAGATTTATGAGCGGCTGAAAGACCTGAGGTCCGATGTAAACGGACCAACAACGGGCAATGCGTGCAGCCTGTTTTGCTTTTTTCAGCCACCTCGGTGCTTCTGCCAGCGCAGATCCAGATTCAATTCATCCCTCTGATCAGACCTTGAAATCAGCAGGGGCAGTGCAAAGACCTCGTCCTGTAACGGGCCCTTGCCGACGACGTCTTAGCAATTCTGCACTTCGGTGTTGTCACGGGAGTTCCCGGGCAGTTTAAGCGCAATCAACTCACGCTGCAGAACGCTACCCGGAGCTGTGGCAACAGGTAGAAGGCTAACATGCTAAAACACCTCGAGGCATGTTGCTGCAAGGACATCAGCGAAGTTCACACCTTCTTTCAAGCCGCTCAACTCAGACGGCACAACTCCACCTAAACCTGGCACCCGCGAAGCTCCGCATAAGTCCTCAACGGCTCGAGGATCGGGGCTCGGCTTCGACCCACATATGAAAAATGCCATCTTCCGCCTAGGGCGGAGAAGAAAACCATATGTCTCGTGTCTAAGGGGCCCAAAATGGCACACAGTAGAGATCTTCGATTTGGCCTGTTGCGAAGGGCGCTTCCAGGAATCCTCCATTGCGGGATCTACATGTTTATGACGGCTTTCGGGCCCCTTCCCCTCTGTAGAGAATGATTGTTTTCGGCACGGTTATTAGACACTACAATCTCCTCGATGGTTCCCACCATCAGCTGCATTGCACACTAGGCTGCTCACAAGACCTCGTCGTGGTACCGTGTCACTTTGACAGCTCGATCGGCAAGTCTGAAAGTTCCTCCACTGCGGTGCTGTTCAAAAGGCCAACAGCCAGAGCTGCATACCGGGCAAGTTCTGCAGCGGCCTCCTTGCAGACCTTAGCTGCGCTACATGCCTCATCAAAAGCACTTGTCACTAGCTCAGGGCTCTCTCTCTCTCTCTCTCTCTTGCTTGCTTGCTACCGGGCTTGGAGGGGCTGCAGCGCTCTCTCTCTCTCTCTCTCTCTCTCTCTCTCTCTCTCTCTTCATCTTATTCCGTTTTTCGCGAGACTTGCCTGAGCCAGCTCGTGCACCCTGTCACGGCTTAGGCAAAGCATGTCGGCTCCGGAGTCAGTGCGCGCTTGTCCCAGATAGCTCCAGCTTGTCCAAAGGCAGTGCTCGCAGAGCCAATCGCCTTGCGATAGGCTTGATGCTGACACTTCACCAGTCTCACCCACTGATCCGGGCACAACTTGAACCCAAGCGGTATTGGAGATGGAGCCTGTCACTGGAGGTAGGCGAGCTGTGCTGTAGGTGATGACACCACGCACTACAACAAGGAGGCTCTCACATTGCAATCCAGGCTGAAACAGTGTCTCTTGTGCCATGACGGGCCACTCCACGAAGCATCGGACGCACAGCTCGCGCTGGAAGGCCGAGTACTTGCTACAAAGGTTGTGCAGCAAGGTATGGTTGCTGACGATGGGAGTGAAGGCCTCACGGCACAATTCCTCGTAGAGGAAGTGAGGCAAGGACCCTGCCAGCTCCTCTTTGCCCGGCGGCACCACCCTGGACATGTGCCGCCGCGCGTAGCTGCTGAGTTGCTGCTCCAGGCTCTGCGGCACCGGGTGCGCCTGCAGCAGCAAACCCCTGTTTGAAGCCTGGTACATGTGAATATAACATAACAAAAGCAGAACATGACATACGATAGAGGCAGATAAGATTCAAACCTCGTGAAAAGCTCCGCAAACCCTGAGCTAGACTGCGTGAACTACCCGAGCTGTCGCCTCGAGAAAATCGCTCAGCTTGTCCTCTGCCTCTTTCCTCATCCGCTTCAATCGACGCAAGTCTGAGATGTCGTTAGTGACCTTGCGGGAACTCGCTTGTTTGAGGAGAGAAGCGTAGCCGAAGCCTGTGTGACAGTAAGCAAGAATCTAAAGCAGCTTCCGCAGCCAAGCTGCCACCGATGTAAAGATGGACGCAAACAGGACACCAAGCGCTGTGCTGAGAACCGCGAGTAGCCGCTCTGCCTGGGTCTGCAGCTCCATGTTCTCGGTGATGCGTGACGGCGGCAGCCTTGACAAGGCCTGCAATGCAGTGCATCCGCAACCCATCACCATGAACATTGAGCCCCAGGCCCGAAACAGACCTGAGCTGGAAGCCTGAATCTGCAGACGGGAGGCCCACTCCATGCTTCGGACATACTGCCCATGCCAAGGGAGGCGAGCCAACTCCGCATCTTCGGTCCAGCCGCCCATTTGTAAGCCAACGCCGAACCACGCACAGGTCAAGCAATGCAGACAGAACAGGGACACCAGCCCCATCCAAGATATGTTCCAGGTGGCACGCACTTCCCGGCTTGTTTTTCGAAGCACGTTGTGGGTAAAGGCAGCCACCCCCGAACACTCGTAGTAGTACGGGAGGGTGCAGAGGCGCAAGAGCTGCAACGCGGAGACGATGCCCCAGACAAGCGGAGCCGAGGAGGAAGTGGGCCTCCACAATGCAAGGCCCACTCTCCCGAGCACCAAAGAGGCCTCCAAGGCGCCGGCTTGGGGTTAGGGCTTTCGGAGGGGTTTCGAGGGTTTACACAGGCCTCCAAAATCCACGTGGCGGGTCGCTTCCTCGACCTCTCCACAAGCTTAAGGGCCTGGACGAGGAGAAGAATCGACCAGAAAGCGATCGTGATGCCGTCAAGGACGCCGTGTTCCAGGCCGAACGCATAGAGAGGAAGCACCATCAGGTCCAGGAAGATGAAGGCCACGCTAAGGAAGGACATGCCCTTGGCACACCTTGCGCGAACTCCCCGCTGCCCCGGTCCCAACGGCGCATACACGAGTTCGAAAGAGCTGCGGCGGGTGATGGTGCTCTTTCGTTTCTGCGACTGTGATGCAGCGGCAGAGATCTTCTGCCACTCCGGGTGCATCTCGAAGCGCTCCTTAGGAACATCGTCTTCTGCGCTCTCCTCCTGCACGGGGTTGGACATAGCCCGGGAGAAGTCTTGCATCTTGCGCAAGGCACTGTTGAAGGACGATGTCTGCCTTGGCAATTCGTGTGATGACTTGGAAGAGCTCCGCTGTGAAACAGAACCGCCGAAGCTCACGATACGTGGAGCCGGCGGAGGCAAAGCCGGGGGTGCACCTTCGAAGAATATACTGCTTTCGTTAAACTTTCCCTTACAAGGGCGGGCTTCAACTTTCGTTTGTTTGTCTTTCGGTGCCTTTTTTGGAGCCCTACCTTCTGGGACTGGCGCGGGAACTTGCTCTTGCGGAAGGACATCATTCCCAGCAGCCTGCAGTCTCGCACACACGGGCTCTAGAATGCGGAGGAACTTGTGATGACTGTGACAAAGCCAGAGTGAGACGTGTCCAGTCCAGAAGCCATAACAAGAAAAACACTACCATAAAGACAGCAGCACTGCAGTTAAGGAGAGAGAAAACTTGCACCGCGCTTTCCGAGTGAACTTGACGAGATTATCGAGAGGAACATCTCGAGAGGCCGATGGTCTTTGGGACTGCGTCCGGACATAAAGTCTTGATGTTACAGAGCAAAAGAGCCTTCAAGATCTATGGTCGGCCGTTTCATCTCCTTTCAGTTTTGCAAATTATCGACCTCAAAGGGATGACAAGATCCGTGCGGTGCGGCAGCGTATTTTTTCATCTTCGCTGCTTCGGTGAATCTGCCTTGGGCCTGCCCGGGCCGGGCGCCTTCCCTTGTGGAACCTTGCACGGTTTCCCTAAACCCTAAACCCTAAACGGTTTAGGGTTTAGGGTCTTTTTCTTCGTGGGACTTTGGGGTGCGTCCGCACGGAATAGCATTGCTAAGTGTTCGCAGTCTTCGTTAGTGCCTGAACACAATGGCGATTGGAAGAAGATGAGTGAATCGAAAGAGAAGTGGCGAGCCAACACGCAGGCGAAAACACAACAATCATTAGATGTACGGCTCTTGAGAAGCCTAAGTTTCAGCATCAAGCAAACCTGCAACTCGTGGCACCGTCTCGTGTTGGTGCCGCTGTCCAGCTGGACAGTGGACAAGGAAACGCATCACGATGCTCTGATTGGCGGATATGGAGAAGTGGGCTAGGTCCCTTGCCGGAACGCTCTGCAGATTTCAAGACGACATGTGCACATACACACACAAACATACGTGCGTAAAAGCGTGCTTGATTGACCGCAGCAGTGGTGGTGGTGGCAGCGGCAGTCGCTTTTTCGAAGTGCCTGGGACCGGAGGAGCTCCAGGAGCAGGGATTCGATCTGCAGCAGAACTTCCGGCAGCGTCGGCGCCGCCAATCGACTCATGGCAATGTGGCTAAACTCTTTTGGCAAAGGCCGGGGCACATACACACCTGTGTGCCACTGTGAAGCCGAAAGGCCATCGAAGCTGTCCGGCATCAAGCATCGCTTCAAGGACTATGAGCTCTCCCTAAATGCTACCTCCACGTCCTGAGATCAGGATCATAGCAGTGAGCCTGGCCTGTCGGTCTTTGCGCAGCACGCTATCGGTGTAGACCTTCAAAGCACTCAAACATATGGTGTGGTTGTCCATCGAAGAAGCTGCTGACTGCTGTGGAGACTACACTCAGGCTTAGTAGTAGTAGTAGTAGTAGTAGTAGTAGTAGTAGTAGTAGTAGTAGTAGTAGTAGTAGTAGTAGTAGTAGTAGTGGTCGTCGTCGTCTTCTGGTGCTGGTGGCGATGGTGGTATGATGCGGAATGAGTAGTCGCAAGGGGCATGGTCTTGCGAAGATGAGCAAGCCCGACCTTCTTGAGCTCTTTCCGGGGCTTCTCGCCCATGCACGACTCGAATGTTTCCTGAGATTCGCAGTCTAGTCTACATGTGCAGGTTTTTGGGTACATACTGCCTGTAGTGCATGTATGGTTTGCACGAAATGCATGGCACGCATGCTTTCCAGATCCGTCAAATTTCCGCGATGTGGCATCTGACAGTATTTGTTGATGTGTCGAAGTGCTCGGTGAGATGTAACTCAAGCCAGGTAAGTGACTGGTAGGTAGATGTCGGAGAACCCTCCTAGTACAGGTGCTTGAATCATGACATAGTGTGCCCGGGTAACACAGTGGGAGCAATCTCCGTGAGACTTCACACTGGCACGGAGCAGCGCTTCGAGTCTGGTTCAAGTAGATCTGAGGACTTTGGAGAAAGTGGGGATGCTTAGATGAAAGGTTCGGTCTTAGGGTTACTTGCCGGGTGTGAGTCTAGAGATGAGGAGGATCCTCATGTGCCGCAAATTAGTATCTGGAGACACTCAAGAACGCTTTCATCGAGGAATGCTGTTGCTCCGGTTGGTACTGGTCTTCAAGACACTAGCCTTGCTGCGATTGAACTTGCCCCCGCATTATGCACACATCCCTTGTCGCTTCGTTCGCAGTGCTCGCCAGGCGTCAAACATGGGATGCACCTGGCTGCGTAAAGCTCACTGAGTTCACTACGACGACGACCGATGTAGCAACAGCCACAACAGGAGCAAGAGAAAGTGCAGCAGCATACAACATTAACAACATCAGCAACAGCACCATCACCACGCACCAACCGCCACCACCAACAACAAAGCCAGCCTTACCGGCTCCAACACCGGCAGGGACAGCAACGTCTAACACCGCCGCACCACCAGCACCAGGACCACGACCACCACAACCAAAGAAGACACCGGCACAACAGCGGAAAGGACTAGCGCAATAGCATTAGCAGAATGAGCATCATCACCCACAGCAGCAGCAGTAGCCGCAGCAAGCGCAATCGCAGCATCAACCACGCCGAGGAATACAACCCCGATCATCCAAAGCAACAGAAAGAGCAAGAGCGTTGATACCGCAGCAGTGAAACACAACACTCACAACAACAGCAACCAGCCTTACTCACCAGCCACGACACCGGTGCTTACACCACGCAAGGCACTGAAAAGAAACGCCACCACAGCACTAGGCAGTATGATAGCAATGGAAGCATGGTGAATCACCATCACCTGATGACGACCTGGCAGCGGGAATGCAGAGATCCAAGACTGCAAACCCTCAACAGCCACAATCTTCCCCCGCTCAGTCCAACATTTTGCCAGCAACCCACGAAGTCCACGTAAATTTTGAACGTCCCGCACTTTCAAACTGTGGCAGAAGCCTCTCGTCTTGAACGATGGTGAGGTGCCCAACCTCAAGGGAGAAATTAGGTGACGAGTTCGCTGAGTTCGTGTCGGATTAAGGCGATTAAAGCCTTGGAAGTTGCTTGCGGATGTTGTTACTCGTACCGTCGTGGTCGTCGTCCGCGCCGCTGTGGGGCATCATCAGCAGGAGCAAAAGCAGCAGCAGTAGCAGCAGAAGGAGGAGGAGGAGGAGCTGTAGGAGCAGCAGCAGTGGGCGAGTCGACCAGAAATGAAAACTACTTTCGAACTCGACCGCCACGGCAACACGGGTTTCAGGATGACGCGTCCCAGAGCGAGCGTTGTAGAGGTGGACGTACGTGGAGATCCAAGGTTTGAGACTCCGAGAGAATCACCAAAAACACTAAGAGCAACCACAACGACAACGACGACTACTCCTACTCCTGATACTGCTGGTGCAGTTTGTACTACTGCTGCCGATGTGGTCGGAGGAAGTGAACCACGTCGAGCCTTACAAAATCAGGAGAACAAGAGTCAGCGCTGAGATAAAGTCTGGGCTGATACTCGAGCATCTGCCGGTTGATCTTCCGGTTGGAGAAGCGATCCAGCCTCAAGTGGCAGGTGTCACTTTGGTGGTGATGTCACACAAGGTCGTGACACTAATCATACAGCTTGAATACCTATGGCTGACTCGAATCCGTCTTCTGCCACACATCGGCCTGATAGTGCAGCTTGCGCCACTGCGGGCCGAATTAAGGTCATGCCGCAAGATTCTGACGACTCTGCGTACCACGAATACACATGCTCACACAGTAAAACCCTCGTCTTGGAAACCCCCAAACCTTGAGCTCGGAAATGCTGAACCCGAAATGCACAACCCCAAAACCGCGCTAAGCCTTAAGCCAGGAACATCTTCGACATCGCAAGCTCCTTTATTAGAAGACCTTGTAGAAGCAGCTCCATACGTCGGATTCTAAAAAACTACTACGTGTTTTGATACTTCTCATACTACAGTGCGCCATATTCTAGCTAGTAGATCAAGCTAGATGATGTCCTTAAAAAATGCATTGTAGTTATGGTGTCTTCCAACCTTAGCCTGTCACGGTTTAGGGGTTGAGGGGTATGAGGCTTTGGGGTTTAGGGCTGCCGTTTGTGCCAGGAGTCTTTAGCCCAATTTCTGGAGCCCAAGTGTTAGCTACTGTTTGCCAGATAAGCAACCTGGTAATAATGAATGCCTAGGATGGTCCCGAGAAAACAGAGCAGAGATGTGGGCAAACCACAGCACTTTCTCCAGAATCCTAGACTGCTAAGACCTTGCATCCGTAGTAGCCCACAGTTCCAAACTTCCTAGACAAGCCCCAAGCCACACGAGCTTTCAGGAACAAGGGGCACGACCATGAATCTTACATAGTACGCTCCAACTTGAAACGACACCCCTACCCCCCCAGATTGCTTCCAGCTTCCTCGAAGCATAGAAGGGGAAGCTTAGATCTCGGCGTTTCGGTGCGCACTGTGTTGACGAAGAATTTCTTGGCTTCCCATTCGGCCTGCGCTTCTGGGTGGGCTTCCCTACAAAGAGAAAGCCCTACTAAGGGCTTTCGGGTGAGAGCCTCCGTCAACCCTGCTCTCCGAAACCTCACACTCACCCGATTCACACTCTTTGCGCCCTCAAAACCATCTTGAAACTTCTGACCTGAGGCTGCTAAGGCCTAGAGATCTCGAAAGATTTGATGGACGAAATAAGCACAGGATTGTAGCGTCAGAAAGACTTCCACCCTTTTAGCATGAACTCGGCATCCCCGGTGCACGGTGGTGAGGATGCGACGCTAGAAGACCTAATTATTTCATCAGTTAATCATTGGTTTGCAAATGTTAAGAACTCCATTGTGTTGCCGCGGTGCTCGCAGAAACGCACAGCAAAGAAGGATTGCCAGGGCTTGATCTTTGGCAGTCTTAGTATTCGAAATCTGTCACTCACGGAACGCCCGAAATGCACGGACCGTGACCGCCACCCCCATGGCACACCAGGTGCCTGTTCCTCGTCAAAGTGGTCGAGACGCTCGATCCTGGTGCAAGCCACGTGACAAAACCAACAAACCAGAACGAAACATAGCAGGCGACATTGATCAGGCAAAAGCTGCAGTATGTTGGTCATACCAACAAGACTTACAGTAGCGGTTGTCACATTCCAACAAAATTATCAGCAAGAACACCCGTCACCCCCCAGATGCATCGGCCGCATAAAGCAATCTCTTGCTGGAAACGGTGCCAGCACGCTGCCTGAACTACACAGCACGCGAACTCCTCTGTGGCGCAATGGGAGTTTCCGAAAATTCGGGGTACCTTATTTTGGGGTCCTACATTAACGCTCCTACTGTTTAGGGTACTATCTTAGGGTCCCCCATTTCTGGGAAACTCCCAAATGGATCTTTGAGGCACCGCGACAGACCCCCCAAAAGGGCGCACGTCTCCGCATCCGTGGCCATCTTCGGCCCATGCCAGTCCTGCAAATTGCATGCGCCGAAAGTTTTTGTGAATGCTGCTCTTTGCAAGAATGTTCGCAACTCCAGCAACTGTTTCGGGCGAGATTCGGGGAGTTGTGGGGTGCAGGGCAGGCGGTGAGCTCACTCAACAGGCGGGAGACAGCCGGGGCACTTGCGGGTTTTCAGGTGTCCTCGCAGCCTGCGCCCCAATACAGTTTCAGCTTCGATTAAGGCTTTTCTGGGAATACTCGAAATTCTCAGTTCAGTGGCCGGAAGAGCCAGTGTGGGTGAGTCTGAAACTATTACCAGCTTGAATGCTCATTTCTATGATTACAAGAGCGGAGCTGCAGGTGCTGATGATACACTCATGCGACGAACATCTAAACTGAAACACAACAAATCACAATGTCCCTAATTGACCGTTATACCGGAGCCGTGGAGAATGTGGCAGTATCTCTAGCAGCTGCTGCGATCTGGTTCCACCTGAGCATCCTGATTCCGTCCCTGCCACCTCAGCAGCATAAGCGAGGTCATAAACTCGAAGAAGATCCTCTCCTTCCAGGTGTTCAGGCCCGCGTGGGCGGGCACATCCCAAAGGTTCACTTTCGGCCGCTGGTGGTAGTAGGCCTGCAGAGTCACTATAGGTTTTTTTGGGTTATATGAGACATCTCGGCTGTGCAGGAATCCATTGCGGGCTTCAGGTTGAAGGTGATTGGGTTGCCCATTGGTCTTATGTATAGTACTGTATGACTGTATGTCATTGCGCTCAGACTAAGGTCTGACAACAGCCAGTACTATAATTGATGTAGGTGCTTGATATGATTTAGCGTCTGCTTCCGGGCTTAAGCTTTGGAGCGAGGTTTCTGGGAGTTCCCGGCGTCTGGACCGCAGGTTCGGCACTGCAGGTTCCTCCATGGGCCAACCTCTGCAAAGCAGAAGTATAGCCCAATTCTGAGCGCCGCCCCGTCTCTTGAGGGACTCGGATTTTCGGATTCAGCACGTTGTAGGATGATTTCACAGTTCAGGACTCGCAGCCGAAGTCCTCACCCCTGAACTCCAAAGTCAGCAAGCCTGACAGCTCTCACCACGAATCTTTCTTGGGATCTATTGCGTTTACGGAGTTTCCACGCGCATGGCCCAGGATGTAAAACTTCATGACTTAACTTATTCTTTACTTATTCTTCATCTAGTTGCTTTAGTTTACTTTGGTGCTTACTACTACAATCGAACTAACTTTATCGACTTCACTGTTCGACTACTACGGATACTCACCAGCAGTCACCTGCCGGGGATGTCCGTAGCAGTCGTACAGAATAACCGATAAAAGTTAGTCCGATTGTGGTGCAAGAAAGAAATGGAGTCTTTGATTGAGCTCACACGTATGGATTGTAAGGACGGTCAAGTTACAAACAAAACCACAAGGTTCTGCTACGAGGAAGCCGAATCCAGAAGACTCCGATTGGGATTCCCAGCTTCTCAGTAACTCAGAGACTCCAGCATCCACTCGGCAACGGATGGTGCTATGATAAGGGTATCACGTACATCTGCATACGCAGCTTTCCCCCCTTAAGACAAGCCCATAGTAGGATTCCCCGGGAGGGTGCTGGCAGACGAAGGCGGGCCGAGGGGTAAGACCACCCGTCTTTACGGGGAAAGTTTTGGGATCCCCAACATTATGCAAGTGATCCTTGTTAAGGGATTGATCCGGAGTTTTATAGATCAGGGATCTGCGCCATTTACGGTTCCAGGGCGTCTCAAATAAATCCGCTGAAGCTGCCAAGGGCAGTTTTTCCTCCACTGCAAGTACTGTGAATCGACTTCAAATCCCAACCTTCTACACCCCATCCCAAGCCGCACCTGATTCTTCAAGAACTGGCCGGTTTTCGCCTTCCTGGCGGGGCGAGTCTGGGCGTTCGGAGCAGCATTCCAAAACCCAGGGTCCGCACCACGAAGTCCACCTTCACGCGCTTTAGTCCGATGCGAGAGCTACGAAAGATTAAATTTGTGGTAAGTACCTGGTTGCACCAATCCTCTGGCTGAATCAATGGCAGTGACGACCAGTGCTGCTTCTCCAGAGAAGAGCGGGAAATTTGGATACCCCGCACCCCAAACCCCAGATCCTAAACGAACCCTGAAGCGCAAAATCCCCAAACGTCGGAACCCGCATGCCCAATAAACAACCACATTGTGGAACCCTGTAACAAACCCCTCAAAGAACCCGATTAACACTGAAACCATCTCACAACCCTGAACAAACTGTTCCTAAAAACCAAAACCCCAACAACCCTGATAGCTTTTTGAAGTTGTGACCCCTGTAAGGTATTAGCAACTATTCGGACGGTCCAGCAGATGCCCCCGGCCACGGGGACTTTCGGCTGCCGGTGAAAGCGCACGAGGCCCAGGTGGTCGCGCTCCTGCTTTGGGCTGCAGAGCGCAACAGCCCATAACTAAGAGGGCCGTAACATTATGATTTGAGGGGGATTGGGCCCTCTTCTGATGTGGACCGTGGGCTTTACAGTCTTGACACAAAGTTCTCGACACTAAATGCCACAGCTGCAAACTTCATCCGAATCCCCAACCCCGCAAGAACCCAACGCCTGCTCAGCTAATACGAAAGTCGGAGGGTTTGGGCATGACTTTCAGCTTTGGGATGTTTGGGCTCCGGACTCCGGGTTTGTATGGATCTCGAGGCCCTGCGACCTTGGGATGCTTGGTTCGGATGTGTGTGCCGTTTGGCGTTCAGGATGGCTTTAGGTCACGATAGTAAAAACCATGGAGGGGTCGGTTGCATGGGGATACACGGGGCTTAAGGGATGCGACTTTAGTATCCCATCGCCCGAATGATTATTGCTCCGGGGCCCTCTGGCCCCTGAGCCCTACAACGCTCTGAACTTTCTGGATCTTGGCGTTCTGCAGTTTAGGACTGAGGTTTGTAGAACTCGCTACCCGAGCGAAAAGGTACTTTCAACAGGACTCACCTTTCAGAAAAAAAAAAACTCCAGAACAGGGCCACTGCGTCTTAGGACAGCTGGTTCAGACCCCAAACCCGCCCTCCTTCAGCGGTCCTCTCGACTCGTCTCCGGCTGCCTGGCCATCTCCGTTGGCTGGCGCAGGAAGGGCTCTGAGGAGGACTTCCTGAAGCCGCAAAACACGGGTCTTCCCCTCATAAGCCACGGTGCGGGAAGGTACTAGTAAGCCGTGACAGTTGAGAATTGCCAGGTTTCCGGCTGTCTTTACATGGATTAAGCAGCGTCTTGTAGGGCATGAGCCTTGGTTTAAGTGGTTGTAGGGTTAGGGTTGAGCGTTGCGGCTTTCAGGCCTCCGTTTGAAGTTGGCTCAAGCCTCGTGACTACTGGCTTGTGCTCTGAATATCTGAGAGCTTTACACCCAAAGCCCAAGTCCTGAGCCCCAGAAGACCGACTGGCAGAGATCCTCCCAAGAGACAGTCGCCTGTGCTTTTCAAGCATATAAGAAATACCTCCTTCTATTCTAGACGAGAAGCTGCTGGCCAGGGCCAGGGGTTCATACGTTTGTCTTTGTTAAACCCAAGCACTTGGGGTCAGTTTCGGGCTTCGGGGACCCGAGTTTCGGGTCGAAGGCTTTCTCGCTCTAGGCTTATGCATCCCAGCGACGCGCCCAGAGAGGCATTCTTATGCGCCGGGGAGTGTGACGTCTGCCTCGGTTTCGGACAGGAAGTGGCTGGTGCTGCCGGAAAGCCCGTGAGTAGCAGCCAGAAGACAACTACAAACAGGGCATCCTTGAACAGCACTTGGAACAACCGACGACGACGACTGTTCTGCAGTGCTACTGCAATTTCTACTACTCCGGCTGCGACGATTGCTCTGTGCTACTGCTGATTCTGTTTGCGCAAACTTTAAGGCAACTCAAACTCCACCCCAGGACCCCAAGCCCAACTCGCCCGTCTGTTCAGTGGAGTGGCCGCAGCTCAAAGCCTCCGGTGTCCACCAAATGTGAAGGAGTGGTGGTGAGCTCCTGGGATCTTTACAGGTTTCGGCGTCTGATGGGGAACCTTGAATTCTTGGAGGCCTGCTGGGAACAGCTGGGCATATTTCCGTGACTTGCGACCATAGGAGCAGAACAAGTTGAAAGCCCTACCTCGACCATGCCCACAACAAAATCTTGAGGGGCTGCAGACTTCGTCGTCGTGAACAGTGGCTTAGGGACCCTGTGTAAAGCGTGGACTCGGTGCCTTGAGAGTCTGCGTCGGCCGCACCAACGTCGGCATGGCTGCAACTAGTCAAAGCGCCCCCGGAACTTTGGGCTGAAGGGCGTTGTGCTTACTTTTCCAGGCGCTGCCCTTGCTCCCTGGCTCCTACTACCTATCGCGTCTCGTACTGGGAGTCAGTGGCAGGGCTCAGCCTCAAGGTAATTGAACTAGTCTCGGAGTCTCATAGCGTGAGCACACGACCCCGTCAATTCCGAAGCCTTTGTGTCGTCTATCTTCTGGTCTCTTGAGCCGCGGTCGAACCATGTCTCTATTGTTCAGGGTTCAGGGTTGCTTGCTAAAGCTCGGTGTAGTTTCGGCAGGTGCAAACCTCAAGCGAACACGCACTGAACTCCTCGATCATAGGGCTTGGCAACGTGGATGCTGAACTTCAGCACAGTGCCGCTGAAACTTCCCGTAAAGGTTTCCGGAAAACAGTTGCAGGAAATGAGGAACTGTGCAAATCGAAGTCTGGCAAACTGCCGAGGCTGCAAGTCACCGTTTAAGATGTCCGCTGTTCAGCCGATAAGCTCTTGCACGGGGCCGGTCGGTTCAGGGTGTGGGGTTCTCTTCGCTTTTTTGAGCTTCCCAAGTCATACAGAGACCCTTTGAGACAGAAGCCATAAACACACCTATTCTGTGTATTTAAGTTACTTAAGCCTTGCCTGCAGCCAGGGTTTTCCGCCGAAGTTCTGTTCTCGCTGGCTTCGCTGCATCTCGCCTGTGCCTTGATCTGTTCGACAAGCGACAGCCTTGCTTGCAAGCATCTGTTGCAAGACCTGAAAACCCACAACGCTTGCTTAGCTATACTGTGTTTCAGGTGCACACTTCGTAAAGGGACCTGTCTAACGACGCGAGAACATCAAACGATAGTGTGCTCCTGTAACACTGCGCAGTGGAAGAAATGGCGGCCATCCCTCGATGACGCGACCCTTGAGAAAGCCTACCGGCGTGGGACACAGCAAACCGATATGCTTGCAGCACTCCTTGCCGAAAAAGGCGGTGTGTTACCTTCTTAGTCACAATCAAGCCTTTTGATTCAGGTTTCTGTTACGTCTGGGGATACGACCAATCTCAGCATGATAACAACCTCTAGGAGCCCGACTGCGCTCATAGTTCTATTTCGCCTCCTGAAAGCCTTCGGCTTAATTTCGGCAGAATCCCGATCGCATACACCATGAACACTTCAGCTTTCTCAAGGTGGCGCTACACGGATCGCGGTTCCGTCCTCGACGACAGGATACTCGCTGAGCCTGGTGCGCCCTGCTTTGGGGAAGACTTAAAATAATGGCCTGAATAGTTCGAATATAGGGTCGTGGGATGCATACGTATGGCATAGTACAACTTTGTGATTGCATGTGGAATATATGGGGGGGGGGTTGTATTGCTCCTTTCGCCTAAACTTGCAAACCCAAATTTCGACACGATAAAACCCTGACCCGTGACGTCCTCAAACGTAAAGATTTTAAACAACTGCAAGAAAAAAGCACGTGTGAGGTCGAACGCCCGATAAACCTGTAGGGCTTCCACTTGCAGCTCTGGCGATGTGAATATTTTTGGGGGCGGGGGAAGAGCGGGGCAGGGCATACATGGGTCGGTACTGTCTTCATTGAAAGTTTTGTAGGTAGTCATCACAGACTGATCCATGGTTGACCGGGCTCAGCACTCCTCAGAAAACGTACCTGCCCTTGCCTTGGTGGTGGGCTCTGGACGGCTTCGGGCTTAGGAACACAGGGTGGAGGTCGGGGAGTAGTGTGTGACGTGCTGCGAGTGCAGAAATGCCCCATCGACCGTTCGCGAACATTGATGCTCACGCTTTAGAGTTTCTGTGCCTTTGCTGCTGGTCCTTCCCATGAGCACTTCCTATACATGAACCACATTAAGAGCAACACCCAGATCCGGCGGAGGCTCAGGCGTTAAGCGAAGAGACAAATCGCTCGGCTACCCTCTCCAAGCTATGGTGATATAGCTATGGCTACCCCGTGCTGTGGTCAAAAAACGAAACTGACGAAACCCCCATCCCGAAGAGCTTCGACTGCCGAAACGGGCCCCATACCAGGGCTCCCTTTCATATGGAGTACATAGAAACCTTGGGGCCCAGAAAAGGCGATTGATCCCTCAACCAATGTCGGAGCAGATCACGCCAAAGCAGGATGCTCGCGATGAGCCGGAAAAGCACCTGAGCCATGCAGACAGTCTCAGTCCGATCACAGTGAATGCAGGAGTGCCACCAAGCGAGAGAACTCCCTTGAAAGCAGTAGATAGTACCAAGGTGCATAGAGACCAACCAGAGCTCCGAGGTAGAAGGACCACTCGTCCCACTCAACACCTCAGAAAGCGGTTCCAAGCTCACTTGATGAAGACAGACCCGGAACCCTCAGTTTTTGGCCAGCTGTACTTTGAATTTACAGTGGGCTGTGCATATCCGCGCAACTTGTTCCTGGATAAGCAACCTGCCGGTCAAGTATACGTGGATCCAAAAACCGACTCTGGAGGCCGACATTACTCTGTTTAATGCGGGGGGATGCTATCCATTTAATCGGGCAGCCCCTCTCGGAATTACGCTACTTCTTAAACCGACGCTGTCACTGAGAGGTCCTGAGCTTTGTCAAGCCTTGCTCGCCACACGTCGGAGGGATCCAAACACTCAGCGGAAGAGAAACCCGACACAAACACGTCACTTTACATCTAGAGTCTAAAATCTCACATCCCATCAAAGGATGGACCTTAAATCTGGTGTCCTGAACTCTTTTATTTTAATATTACTCTGCCAGAAACTGCCAGGAGCCAGAGCAAGGCACTTTGAGTTTGCACCAGCTGCTGACGGAGGTAGTCTCCCGGCTGCCTTGCTTGCGATTGATAGAGTTGGCCTTCAGAATTTAGGGCTCTTTTGCGGAGTGATGGTACAGTACCCCTATTATCTATATTAAGGTCGTATCACAGTGCCTGCATGTGACTCATACGCAACCATGGAGCTCAGGGCTTGAGATTCAGGATGGTACGGCGTTGGAGAAATATGTCGTGTTTGGGGGCTTCCGGTGGTTCGCCGATCATGTTTAGGTAGAAGCTCCATGTGCTGGCGCGTTTGGTCACTCTACTCACTCTGGATGAAAATATTCGCGACCGAGATGCTGGGTCATGCACTGAGCTTGCGAGTACTCTTGCTCGCAATTGTCCTTGGCGGTGCTTTTTGTTCAGGGCCCTCAGCCTGAGCCTCTGTAATTGGCCAAGATTCGATGCTCTCTTTGACATAGCTAAACTCGACGATGGTCATCAAGTTGATCGCATACTTCAGCGGGCACAGATAGCGCACCCACCGCAGGCCTGGATTGAGGCACGGGCTGTTGAACAAAGATCGTCTACATGTTTTCAGGGTGCAGGCTTATCGGTCTCCTGCAAGGTCTACGGTCCAGGGCTTGAGGTTCTTAGCTTCAAGTAATATCAATCTTCTGATAAGCCGCGTAACCTTCTTCTGGGACCCGATATCTTTACTGTATGGACGAATAGATGTTGTTGGGTTTAGGTTAAAGTAGGATATTGAATCTGGGATGCCCTCCCGTATTTAGAAACCCACAGCAGCCTACTTTCATCATAACAGCTCCAGAGCTCTACGAGTAGGATTGCTTCCTAAAGCCCTAGATAGAGCTCTCGCCCCTCAAGCCCTCGATGTCTGAAAAGCGGAACTGCCGTTGCTCAACTCCTTGCCCCCACATGCTCTGATGCGGTTATCTAGACTCTAGACCTGACCAATGAGAACCGGGTGCTTACATGAGCTGTATGTGTACATTATACTATACTGTACCAAGTTTTATATATGGGGTATAGCATATTGCCTTTTTGTCTAGGCTATGTTCTGGTTTTGTATTGCATTTTCGGTGTATATGCTGTTTGTTACATGTATACAGTGTTGTCATATGCTATGTTACATTACGTACCACATGTTCTTTACGAGTCTTAAAAAGCATAAATAAACAACTATATATATATATATGTACCAAAATATGTTGTACTGTGCATATGTTATTTTATACTGTACATATACACAGTCTCTGACGCTGTACGATGTGGTGGTCTGTTCCAGTAGGTATTGCGTATTTTGTAACGGTTGTTTGCGGTATTTAGTCTATTTTTATTGTCTTGCTCGAAAATGTCCTTTATGACATGATCAGGTAGTATCCTATCAGGTTTAACTGTATTGCATTATCGTACCTTCTATCGTATCATACTGCACTATGATACTGTTCTATGATACATATAACACATACATACTTGCGTGCGTGTATACACACAGTATATATATACATACCTACATAGATGCAGACACACGCACACAGACAGACAGACAGACAAACAGACAGGCACACAACCACACTACGAGGATACATATGCGGATAGGTGATGAGCAAGTACTGCATCCATGCGGCTCAACGGGATCTTCGCCACAGGCACGAAGAGACCGGAAAACAGCATCTGCGGGATCAGCGTCAAAGGTGCCAGCTGAATCGCCTTCCTGAGATCGATCCCAACGCCAGAGATGTTTTGTGCAAGTCTTGTCGTGGGGCCTTTTGAGGTCACACAGCTGTGTAGTTACACGGGTTGCATGGCCTTCGGCAGAGCTTATTCGGGCCTTTGCTTGGTCTGGCAAGGTTTTGCTTAGTGCGTAGTGTGTAGACATTTGCTCAGGCCTTGAGGCTTCCGGGTTAGCTGACTCAGTTAAGTTGCATGGGATTTTGGGGATTGTTAACCGTGCAGAGTCTTCGTGATAATGGTCTCCCACAGTTTTCGGAGCACTGTCCGGCTAAAGCCGTAACAACAATGTAGTGGTCTGAATCTTGTGCGATAAGTAAATGCATTCCCTTATCGTCCCTGTGCTGTTTTTGATTTCGCTTTGATATTTCAAGGCCAAGAGATCCTAGTCACTAGTCGAAGGCCCGTCTACCACATTGCAACTCAGCTCGTCCGGCGCAAGTGCCACTCGCAAAGTCTCAGCCTTGAAAGACCCGGATAAGAGTGGCACTTGCCATCTCACAGATATAACAACTCAGATAGGGAATGGTGGCTGGACCTGGAAACTTTAGCCCACATCAAGAAGCCTGCAAGAAAAGAAGCCCGAAGCCAGCATACTTATACCCGAAGCTGTCTGGATTCAAGCCGTATGCTTTACGCTCGAAACCTAAAATTTCCAGCCACACATGCTTGGAACCAAAATCACGAATGCAAGATTTCTTTCGTCCTGGCGGCTGTGCCGTGGACACGCCACACCCCACAAGCAGTGCCAGGGAGGAGGAGGCGACGCCCAGGCCCCTCACACGAGACATCATAACAATCACAACCATCAACAATCTCGTGATGTCTTGATTGGAGAGACTGACGATGAGCTGATGATGGCGATGATGATGCCGATGGTCTTCTTCACAATGTGTTCCTGCTGGTCATAAGAAAGCTGCTTGTGATGATGATGATGATGATGATGATGATGATGATAGTCGTGGTGATGCTGACAACTGTGTGCCGCTGCTGGTGCGACTACTGTGAGTGTTACTGCCACTACTCCTGGTAGGCCTGGTCGGTTCATGTAATTATTAGCTTCGTTGAGTTGATGTTCGAGAGCTTAGAAGAACCGCAAGCTCGACGGGATAGTCAGAAGCATGGAAGGGCCCATGAACACTGTCCAGGTCTGCCAGCGTAGCAGAGTCTGTCCGCCGAGTGGCCACGACACTAGCACAAGCAGCAGGACACTGCCATGCAGCCCCATCCACCAGTAGGTGACAAGGAAGGTCACCTGAAAGCAGTTCCAAGCCAAGTGAGGCTGCAGGGATCCTCCAATATACCGAGCCCGATCACTGTAAGTGTCTCGTCTACAAGCATGCCAATGCACGACCTGCGACCGGCTGGTTCGCTAAGTGAAAGGACCAGGAGGGTATTCCAGGTTCAGGGATCTGCAGGGTTGTGGGATTTTTGGGGGCTCGGGCCTCAGGGTACTACGCAACAGATAAGTCCACTTACATACCCTCTCGGTGTATGGCTTGAAGCCTTGTAGAAAGGCTTTGAAGACGTGGGCTTTTGGGGAGTTTAACTGCGCTGGCGACTCCCCAGAACCCGATCAAGCTTCAGATTCGTTCATGGGCCATAAATCTTGAAGATTCAGGACAAATTCCTCCTCCCGCATGCCGAGCAGCAATCTGAGAGAGTAAGACCACAGGCATCTCAACGATGGTCTTGCTGATGAAGTATGGCACCACGCCGTACCTGACTGGTGGGTTCTGAAGCCAGATTCTAATTTCCGATGGGTGCCTTCAGTCCAAGCCTCCTCGTCCTTGCTTACATCTCGGATCTAAGTTGAGGGTGTCATGTTGTTCACCTTCGACTAGGCTGTGGACTTTCTTTCGTCTAGGCTTTGTTCTGATAGGGCAAGGCTGCTGTGTAGAGTTATAGAAGAAGTGAGGGTGGTGGCACCACGTGTACTCCTTTGGCTTCAAGTCATCCAAGTCAAGTTTGGGGAGCTGCGGTCCAGGGTTTTGGCTTCTACGTGTATGTTTCTGTCTCTTGGGTTTGAGGTGTCGGCTTAGGATTACTGGCACTTCAAGGTCTAGAACTTGAACCACACCTCCTGTTGCAGCACGGAGACTGGTGAGCCGCATACTCCTTGGTTCAGTCTGGCTTTAGATCTGCATTCGGGGACCAAGGGTCCATATGTTTCGAAGTTGGCCGGGCCATCCTGGAACAAGTTGTCGTGACTCTTTCAACTGGCTATGCTTCGTGCACGCTATGCACTGAACCGGCTGCATTGAGCTGAGACTGGGTTTAAGAACGCCAGCTCGGACCCAGGCACCCAGGCCCCGACAGTTGAATCGTAAATACCAAGATTAGCTCGGGTGTCGAAATAACTCCAGACGGTGATTATGGTCATGAACATCACGAACGTTATGATCAACCTGGTCACGATGATGATAATGATGATGCTCATCATCTCTAAACTGTGTTGCGGTCCCAGGCACTCTGAGGAAAACGGGTCGCTCCTGTGGGAACTGCAGCAAGACGGGCTGCGCAGCTCCCATCATGGCCCTGTGGTTCAATGTTCATGCAAACACGCCGGCGAAGGGCTTTGGGCTTAGCTACCCTACGGTGAAGATAGGAAATGCTCTCGTTGGCCTACGGCCGCCTTGTTTCTCTAACGGTCTATGGGCTGCTCGTGGCATGCAAGCCCAACAGGGTTTTGATGGTGGACACGGCGGTGCTCTACTACATATTTTCGGTGTAGCTTGAAACTAATATCTAAAATTAGGCCCTACACAAGCCTAGTGGGTTCTATGAATGCACAGGTGTTACAACTATTACCATTCTGACTAACCCTCTTATTGAAAGGCAGGATGCATAATGCTGAGCGAAACGATCGTGCCGAAGTGGGCTTGGAAGTCCTCAGCAAAAACGGTCGTGGTGACTGGGTTGCAAGGTTCAGAACCAGGTGGGGGTCCAAAGTGCAAGAAGTTAGGGATGCAGGGGTGCTCAGGACTTTTCGTTCTGAGACGTACAAGCCAATCAGCAACCTTGCCGGGTTTAGGGGCGTTTGGCCCATCTTTGCGCCTCATGGCCTGAGGCCGCGAGAGTGTGTGTACCGAACTCGGGTGGGCTCAGGGGGGAAGCAACGGAGCTAGGCTTCAACATGCAAAAACCTACTCAATCACAGAAAGGCAGCGCCCTGAGCACCTGAACTGTCAGCCCTCGGCCTCTGAGCTCCTCAACGGGCCCCGAACACCGGAAACTTGCCCACTCTTCTAAACCTCAACACTTGACAGAAGTTTATGCACACCACCACTTGAAACCCTTCAGTTCGTATGCGAGGAGTATAGTCGAATGCTCTTCTTGATGTCGCGAAGATTGTGATTAGTGTTACGCTGATTCTTGTTATTTCTGGCAGTTCGAAGCTAGATGTAAGGTCTTGGCCTCCCAGACGAGCTGCAGATTGGCAGCCGGCATAGCTGAAGTTGTTTGATACGCAGTTCTTCTCTGTGGAGTGGCTGTTGTCCTGAGTTTCTCAAACTTCTTAAAGTAAAGCTCTGGTGGATAATCACTCCTTCTTGCCGGGCGGGGTGGCAACAGCACCCTCGTCATCCTGCTTGTAACCTACAACTCCTAATCCTCCAAACAGGGTTTGCCGTGCAGGGCCCTCTAAGCGACAGGGCCTCTTGTTAGGGACTGTGAATATTTGTCAGCTTGCGACGAGGTTGAAATCATCCTCAGGATGAGAAAACAGACGAATCTGAATAATCACACTTGGGGTCCGGCTTGGATGTTGACTTGTGCACATAACTATCCTTCGACTTGTGTGCACAAGGTTTGTGGTGCATCGGCTAAGACGATTTTAGATGCGGAGCGCTAAAGCACGAAGTTGCGCCAGAATGACTCATGCCCGTCATGACCATTACAAAGGACACAAGCAAAGAGAGCCCAGTGGCACCCTGCGCAGCGCTGCCGGAAAACAGCCAGCCATACCTGGACGAACCCCCGCAGGTCTTCCGCACGCAACCCGAACTACTTGTAGTTCTGTGTAAAATCTAAAGCTCGAAAACATATCCTCTGGCCGACAACCAAACCAGTGCGCAAAAAAAACACCCATGTACCTGACTTCTTTCAACCCACATACCATGCGATTTAATCCGAGCGTACTACTTGAAGTCTTATGGGCAGTCATAGGTAGGGTCCTAAGATATCCTATAAGTATCTAGATGTGGATCGTAGTTAAAGCGAATTCCTCAAACTCTGGCTTCTAACTTCGAGTTATCCTTCGAGTATTAGGCGCAACGCCGATTCCCGCCAACTCGGGCCCAGGTACATACAGGCCAAGAACAGCGACATCCCCAGGCGCGCGAAGAGAACGCCTTTATTCCTGCGAAGCTGTTTCAAGCTGAGTTCGAGGTTAGTTGCATTCAGTCAAGAGCAAGTACCATTTTTAAGGATTCGGAGGTGTAGTGTTTAGAGTTTGCGGCCTGGACTTGAAGGCTTTGCTGCTATCACGGCTGACCCTTTCGTATTCATTCGTCCCAAGCGAGTAGGGGCTGGAAGTTGCCATGCTTAAACAAACATCGTTCCTCATACAGCTTTGGCCGATCCTTGAGGTTCCTTCAGGTACTTGAAGTCGACATCTTTCCGGAACTGAGAGGATGGCGATGGGCTTCCACAGGCTTCGGCTTTCCGGAAATTCCCGAACCCCTGGATGCCCTAAACCCTCAAGTCCTGGGCCCTAAACAATTACCATGATTTTTATTCAACCCCCCCGCCCCCCCCCCCCCCAATGTCCTCAAAGAACGCCATCCCTTAATAGAACCCTCGCGGGCTCTCCTGATGGTGCCGCGCGTCTCTCGGACCAGGAGCCTGGGCCCGAGCATCCGAAGGTTTTTGGGGTTCCTGAAAGTAAGGATCCTACTATTTAGGGGGCTATATTGGGGTCCCCTATTCTCGGAAACTCCCATTTGGGGAGAGCGGGTTCGGTTCCCGGGGCTTTTGAGGCGGGGGGGGGGGGCCAAGAAGTGCGGTCATGCGGTCAAAGATTCGTTTCCGTACCTCCAAGAGCCTTTTATCATAGCTTAACGCTTACCCAACCGGCCCTCATGTGCCGAATGTTCGTCATCGAGAAAGATAGAAAGAGAGAGAGAGAGAGAGAGAGAGATAGAGATAGAGAGAGAGAGAGAGAGAGAGAGACAAACGAGCCCTGAGAGATGCTTTGGTCCGGTCCGGGTCGCATGCCCAGCTGCTGGCAGAAGCCGGCGCCCGTCTGCTCCGGCAGGACACCTGAATCCCAACAGGCCGCCCTGTCATCCCCACTTCTCTCCAAGCCTCCTGCAGCCCCCACATAGGGAAACAAGTCCCACATAAAGCGTGAACTATGTGGGAGTTTCATATGGTACCCTAAATAGTGTAGGCTCCTCACTATAGGGACCCCAAAATAAGGTATCGGAAACTCTCATATGCCCTTCTCAGTTGCTGAGCTCCGAGCTGGATGGGCGAGCATTGCCCTGGCTGCGGAAGTTCGTGATCTGATCGTACATCTTCTTGAAGGCGCCTTGTGCACGGAGGCTCGCTTATGATGGGCTGCTACACGGATCTCTGGTGGGTTCGGGGCCATTTCATGGTTGCAAAACCCAACAGAAGTGGCGATTTCAATCCACCCAGCTTGGCATGTCACAAACCCCGCTATGGATCCCTAGCCAGATTGCACCTAGCTGCCCGAATCCAGCCAAGCGGTTTTGATGGTCTGCAGCTTCTCTGGCATCTCCTTCTGCAGCAGAAACATCACCTCACCAAAGTTTCAGAGCTGCTCGGAATCCATGGAAAATCAGCTCTTTCAATCCTCGCCTCGCCTCACACCCAGCTCGGCTGCTAGCCCAGTTGGGACTTTTGACAGTAGTGCTTCGGTAATGAGCCTGCCCGCGTGATTTGCCGCCGGCACTCTGAATACAGTCTGCACCGACGCCTTTCTGCACGAATCCCCGGGGCTTGAGAAGCAATACAGAAGGGAACCTCAAGAGCAAGCTTGCACCTTAAGCTCCTGAAAAATGGGCTTCCAGCATGAGGACATCCTCTGCAGAGCCCGCTTTGGTCAAGGGGCGTGGTCGGCGGGGTTGAAATTTGCTGGGCATGGGTAGCCCAACACGTCGAAGTGCGTGGCGATGTGCTCCGCGGGGCCGTGGTAGGTGACTTCCTGGGGAAGTCGAGCCCTTGAGCCCAACTTCGAAGGGGTGAAGATTGGAGTCCATAGGGCTCTCTACACTTTGAAGCACAAAACATCAAGATCCTTATAAGACCCGAGCGAACGCAACTCCTGTCCTCCAAAGCCAACATAGAAAAGGGCTTTTGGGGGCTTTAGAGTCTACTTCTGATAGTAACCATGGGGGCCATGGGGTATATCGGTAAATTGTTCTAGTGCAGTGTTATGAAGGAACCCAAAGGAATAGTGTTTGTAATTGTTCATCCGCGCGGCACCACCGTGGAGGATGATCACCTCGAGAAGAGGGAAGAGGCTTTGAGTGTTGGCATTCGAAGCCGATGCAGGCTCGCAACAGTTCGCATTCGGCGCCTGGCGCCTGATTCGGTGCATGATTTAAAGTCTTGGGCGAACTCTCTACGATATCGAGGAGGCGCCAGGTGATGATGCACTTTTGGCATCTAAGCTGGGCTTGTTACCGCTTTTTATTGCCCACCCACCACATGGCCATACCAGTGCTGGCCTACCCAGACTTTTGACGCTTGACAAGCGAGAAATGCGACTACTGTCTGTTGCCCTAGATTTCACTATGCACGACAAACAACTCCAGGTGCAAACAATTTAGAGCTGGCATGCACGCTGAACGCGTCCCGGTTGATGGTTTCTCTGGCGAACCGTGCCGGAAATGTGATGTCCCGCTCACCAGCCCAAGTCTCTGCACACCGCGCGTTCAAGACCCAAGCCGAGCTCCGGGCATCGTCGAACTTCGCGAAGATCTCCGAGCTGGGCTGGTGAACCGTGCAGAGAACGGGGACGTTCGCCTCGGCGAGCTCCTGGATCGCAGAAGAGCACAGCGGCTTACGGACTGAGATGTGTAGTCTGAACTCTGGGTGTGAGGTCTTCAAGCATCGTCAGCTTTCGGGATCTGACTGCCTCGAACAGACTCGATTTCAACATGTTTCTGCCAGCCAGTGTCGAGCCCGTGTACCTATGCCGGGCTGTCACAAGCTTCCTCACACGACAGATGCTGCAGATTCTCCAGACCGCAGTGGCGACCTCCCAAAACACGCAGAAGGGAATTCATGTGGGCTGGTATTGCCAACTTTGCGACGGCTCCAGAAACTCCAGCAGGTCGGCAGACATCTCGAACGCATTCTATAGGCTCGGTCGGGAGAGCTGACTGGTCTGCGAAACGCATCTGTGCATCCGCTCATGTGCTCCCCCGTGGCACATTTCCTTCGCGCTCGCGCTCTGTTCACGGGACACCTTACGTACTTTAACTAGACTCTAGAGGGCCGGCGTGCGCCGTCGAGTACCACGGGCCTCCACTGCTCTCCAGGGAGCTGGTCCTCTGCAGCAAACTTGAACAGCCAGGACATGCTGCTGTCAAGGCCCATGCAAATTCGCAACATTTTCTCTCTGTGAACTCCTGAGTGCAATATTGCGGCTGCCATGGACTCAAAGTACAGCCAACGTCGCTGGGAAGTGTCACCTGCCATGAAAAGGGCGTACACTGCCCTGCCGGTCTTTGCCCTGCGCGCTTCTCGGGCGGCCCCTTGCCAAGCGTACCTCATATTTTCAGATGCAGTGACGTATTCTAGATTTTGCACGCGGTTGTTCGCTCGGTCACAGTCCTTGTGATGGACCTGCATATCTGGCACTGGAGCAGGACCAAGAAACGTTGCTGCAACCACACGATGGACAAGATAAGACTTGCCTGCCCTCACGACGCTGAAGTATCCATTTTTTTTGCAAGTGCCACGGCTGATATGTTCGACAAGGGATTTGGATTGCGAAATCCGACCGTGGTCGCTGACCATCAGGTTTGGAATAATATTGCACTCTCCTGGGTATCGTGCGGGCTGCCAGACTTCGGCTGATAGAGGTGTGTCTACCAGAGGAGCTGCTTTGAACTCGTACCAGATACCATTTCCACAGGACTTCTTCATCAAACCGCGGCAGCACCGCGAGACACTGCCGCCTGGAATGCCCAGCTGCCTCTCAGCTTCGGCGTACGACATGCAGTGTGTCCAAGCCTCTTCACCACAAGGCCGCCACAAGACGGCTTTCCTAAGCTTGACCTCTGCTGGCTGACGACTTAGGTTGGTTGCCCGAGCATGCCTTTGATTGTCACCGTGAGTCACATACTGCAGATTTGTCAAGCGATTGTTGCTGGGATTGCCGTCCAGGTGGTTCACCTGCCAACAGTCCGCATCTGGTGGAGGCTCCAGAAAAGCTGCAGCCACAAGCCGGTGGACATAATAGTTGCGGCCGCCAATCTTCACCCTGCGGTATCCTGAGCAGTCCGTCCTGCCAAACTGAACCACGCTGGTGGCATGCGAGACCCGGCCATACGAGCTCACCTGCCAGCCGCCAGATACCCAGCGACGAAGCTGGAAAACCAAGGCGTGGACAGCTGGCTGCCTCGTGAACGAGTGCATGCCCTGCAGGCCCGAAAGCCTGTATGTCTAAATCGGAAGCACTAAGAGTCAGAGCCAACCGATTGCCTTTTCCCTCCGTCAGCCTCCAACCCACAACGAACCTGCAACGCAATCGAGGTCCCTCAACCCTGAAGCCCTGCAGCCCTCAACTCTACTCTGAGTCTCTTCAGCCACCCCATCCCGAAGCTTCGAAGACGCGCCCCACGCTTAACCCCAAGCCGAACTCTGCTGTCGGTACTTCTGCAGCCCTCTTTTGGAACACTCTTCCGGCCCTTTGAACACTTCCCGGAGGCACTTGAGACTTGAGCCCTCTCTTCCCGTTAGTAGGGAATGGAGGAATTGGGGTACAATTATAACTACTATTAGTACCATTCTTCCACTCCCTGCTAACCAAAGGTTTGTCCTTCAGGGCCACCACCAGGGTGTAGGCGGCGTAGGAGTCCAGGCCGCTCAGCGGCTCGTCGAGGAACCTTCGACAAAGCTTCGCTTTCTTTCAGGGTCCTAAGCCCTCCCTCCTCTTTGGGGAGTTTGTGCTGCTGAGGGTCTTCCTCCTCGTTGAAACTAATACTAATTTAAACCAATACCAATACTATTACTACGAATCCTAATTCTAATACCTATACTAATACTAGTACGATTACTAGTACTAATACTAATGAGGCTTCTAGGGTTGATACTTTGAGGGTTTATGACTTATGGGCATTCGGATTTTTAGGATTTAGGTCTAGTGCTGCTAATCTATGCAATCTCCCTCGTGCAGCCTAGCGGCAACATCCTGGGGTTCGTAATCAGCTCGATGCCGACCTCGGCATACAACTTCGGCAGAAGTCGCCCTCCATGGCAACTAGCCATGTTCGTAGAAGCAACAATGATGACGGGGAACGAAGAAACGTAGCAGACACGAGTGGGAGTAGTTAGTAGTTGTGGTGCTTGTAGTCGTGACCGCACAGAACATCCACCAGCCAGACTGGTGCTGGTGCCGGCACCGGCAGCAGCACCAGCGCCAGCAGCACCACCATCAGAACCACCGGAGTCTGCATAAATCGTGAGACTTGCCACCGCTACATCCATTTGTCTAGTCTCGAACACACTACCCTAAACCCCAAGGCAGGCTCGATTAGGCCAACAGTTGAACTAAAGCAATGGATAGCTTCTGTCTCCCAGTATCGCGACTCTCAACACCGTGTATAAGTGTGGCAAAGGCACGGAGGTACGCTTTCTCTCACCTCCGGCACTGGCTGGGTGACGACGAAGGCTAGCTTATGGCAAGGGTTCATGAGGCCTGATAAGCAAACCCTGTGTGGGCCATGACATCGCTGGGATATTGGTTAGTTCATAAGCCTTTGTAAGGCAGAGAGCTCTGTTATACGGGACTATGAAGCAATGAAGACAAGCAGTTACTAGGTATCGGTATTATAATGTGTGGAGGCTGTTTTTCTGAGAGTTTGAAGTGTAGATACCAAGAAGGGTCTAGAACATGCACTTGAATGAAGGCTCAGCTGGCTGTTAGTACGTTCCTAGGTAACGCTCCAGGTCGACCGCTTTTTAGTTGGTAGAGGTCCTGCGAAGTGCTTTTCCGGCTCACACAGGGACTGTAGGTGTCAAGGATCCCATCATCTCAAGGAGTTGCTGGAGTTTCTGGGAAAGTGGTTTTGGGGCTTCGGGCTGTAAGGGTTCCACGGTCTTCACGCAAAATCCAAGAAGCACGTGGGAATTGAGTTGCTGCAGAGACTTCAAGGCCAACCTTTCTTTTAGACCCCCTTAGATCCTCGAGCCCGCATGCTGTGCAGCTGCCAGCCCTGACTAACCACACAAGCCCAAACTTCGAAGCAGCGACCTCCCGAAATGCCCTTGACGAGCGCCGACCCAACGATCCTGAGCTGAGAGAATGCTTCTGGATTGGCCTTGGGTCTGTTGTTTGAGGCTTGCTGATTTAGGGGTTTAGGGCTTGGGAATGTGGCAAGGAACAAGCATGTGTGCTTGATTGTCTCGGTTCCGCCGCTTCTTGCTTCTTGCGCAGGCGGTTAGTGCGCCGCAGTATAGTGTCGGCGTGTGGCCTTGCTGTGAAGGCTTGGCCTTAGGTTCGACTGCCTTGCCCACCCTGCCATGAAAAACCCCCAAGCCCAAAATAACAAGGGGGCAAAGCCCAGAATACACCATGAACCTTAAAATTCCTAAAGCACAACCACCAAGCCCTCAAACCTTGATACCTAGAGCTTAAACCCCTTGAGCCCGAATCCCGAAAACCCTTTCAAATCTTCATCGCTCAAGCCCCTGAAATCTTGGCCCCCAGGACCCTTTAGTCCTTAATGCCTAAAGCCCTTCAAATCTCTTTTAACCAAAAGGCGAGCCCTGATCGTGAACCCTGTAAGCCTTCGGGCAGGTAGGGAGCCTTAGTGCCTCAACATCCCAATAGCACCCTGCAGTTTAAGCGTCGTGGAGGAACAGCGCTCCAGGTGAAGCGTATTGAGCAAGCTCTGGACGAACTCGTGCCTCTGCCTTGGGGTGTAGGATCGTCTCACATTTAGGTTCAGATCTTGTAAGATATAAAATCCTTTGGCAGGTCCGGAATAGTAGGGCATGTCACGAGGATCGGGGCTGTAACAGGGATTTTCAACTTGTAGGGCACATTGTAGGGTGCATTCCCAAGGCTGGTGAGCGGGGCTCTAGAGGGACAAGGTTCTCGAGGTTGGGTTTTGCTTTGAAAGCGTTGGGGTTGAGGGTTGTCGTTGAGGATCAGGGTTACGAGTTCAGTGCTGCGAAGCCCGAAACCCTAAACCATATGGGTTGAGCTCAGGACCCTCACAGAAAGGGAGGGATCCGTGGTGTTGTGAACGCCCCCCTTTTAGCCATTGGTTCTGCAAAGTGGCTCTTCGGTCACGCTTCGCGGCAGCCGAAGGCATGCCGAGAAATAAAGGCATTCCTCGGTGGATAGCAGCATTGGCATTGGTGGCTCACCTCGTTGTGGCTCCCGTTGTACATGCTTGTATATGTATGCATCTCTATTCTGAGCGACCTGGATTGATTTGTTGTAAGTACGTGGCATCTCTGATCCACGGGCCGCAAAGCCTTGCAATGGCTAATGTGAATGTGAGGTATGCGGTATCGAGTTTTCGAGTTTTCCTTTTCGGAGTTTTCGGGTGTTGATATTATGCTAGAAGCTCTAGGCATGGTATTTCCTTTCAAAGCCACGGCAGAAAGAAGAGAAAGCCGGGCCACTCTCGGTGTCTCGAAGGGGAGCAAGGAGTCGTCCTGCATGACGTAGGCGATGTTGGATCGGAAGCTGACGGGATCCACCTGGGCACCAGGACTCTCAAAAATTCAGGGTGACTTGGGTTTGGGAATCCACATAGGTCTGGCTAGCAATAGGCTCTGGTTCCAGCGCAAGCTTGACGTGTCAGCACTCAGAAGTCCAACGCGAATTACCTTTTTTGGGTTCCATGTTAGTGCTCGGCGAGTGCCAGGTGCAGCATTTGAGGCGAGGTCATCAGGCGTCGCATTGCCACGGTCCTACGAATGAGGATGTCGACTTCGAGTTGATCTTTCATGTCACGGTTCAGACTTCAAGGCACGCCGAAGGCCCTCGCCCAAAGATCAGAAACTGACCCACAGTGTCCTCAACCCCCCCAACCTGTAGCTCCACAATGAATGCAACATCCTGAACCCCAAACGGGAATGCCCACAAAGCCGCCAGCCCAACCGCGATCAAGAAAGACAACCCTTGGTGCAACAGCCTTCAGCTGGACAAAAAACAAACTGCCACAATTGTGAACCCTCCTAGTCCCGAGCCCTGAAACCCTGAACCCGTCCTTATAAACGCTCACCCCTCCTAACAAATCCGAGCGGCAGGAACCCCACCAGTGGTGATCTGCCCGGACAGGGACATGCCTCCGGCTTTCCTGGGGGCAACGGATCCGTCGGGCCTTGATATATATATATATATATATACATATATATATATATATATATATATCAATTTTAAATATAACTATATATCTGTATACACATATAACACACACACACACACTAATGCACACACGGGCTTGAAACACATGAGATATGTGTGTATATCAAACGATATATAGCTACCTGTAAGGCACTTAGCTGCCAGAATAAAATTGCATCAGCCTATGCCCTTTTCGCGCCACGAGGCTTAGTGTAATACTGTTGTGCATCTTCTGGCTTGTCGTTGCTAAGGGTCTCGTCTTCCCCTAAACCCTAAACCCCTAAAACCCAAATACATGGGTTTATCCGTTCGTCGGCTCTGGCCTTCATGGCTTCGTCATGAACTGAACCGGCCATTGCTTCGATAGCAAGGCCACTACTTTCGACTGGCAAGCCGTTCCTGCACTGCCTGGTACCTTCAAGCTATGGGCATAATGGTGTACGGTGTAGGTATCTATGTATCTTTCACGTTTTGCCCTGGATATTTCAGGGTTCCGCTCATCAGTATTGGCAGCAAGTGTAATCGTAGACACATACTGCCATTAGTGGAGATGTCCAGTGCATCGGTTTTTTCACTTCTACACATGCTGCATCACTCGCACCACTACTACACACACAACACCAACAGCAGCTGTAACTACTGCTGCTGGTTCTTCTGCCGACTACTACGACGACTGCGGCGAAGACAATATACGACAGCGACGACGACGACTACCACTGCAGCTGCTAAGTAGTTCTCTACTGACAAGGCGAACACAACTACGACCCACGACTATTCGTTGTAAAGATGCTGATGTGCATGCACCTGCATACTCCTCACCCAGCCCGGAGCAACTCCCCAGCGCCAGCTTCCTTCTCTGAGCAGGCAGCGCGACAACCTCACCACTCTGCCCCCTCAATGAACGGACAAAGATCTTTATCTAAACATTGACTCACTTCCTGTTCATCATCATCTTCCAAATTTTGTGATTCTCCGCCTTTCATCGCCATCTGAATCACCTTCACCACAACAGCCAGAGCAATCGTGAAGGCAGCCCGGTGTCGTGTTTTGGCGCCCAGCCAAAATGTTTAGCAGAGTAGTCTTCCCGCTGCCCGACGGGCCAAAAACGCCTGCGATTGAACAACAGCGGTCGTCTAGGGTGTACCATGTAGGGTTTAGGCTTCACAGTGCGTGGTTTGGGGTCTGGAACTTCCGGATTAGAGTATAGGGATTAGGGGCACAGTGCTTGGAACTCTGAAGAAGATATGATGACAAGGCATGAGGCATGCAAGGCTCTTTAGACATGAAACTCAACATCAAGAGAAACAGCATCCACACCTCAACCCCTATACGCAATAAGCATAACGGCGTCCATTTCGTGCACCCCAGGCGCGACACCAACCACTCCACAAACTCCAGCGATCTGCCTTGAGCAGTGATGCCTAAGGGTGCGTTCAAAGGGCACCAAGATCCCCACCGAACTTCAGACCCGGAAGTCCCTGTGATTACATTGACTACATTTCCTCTGCGTCATCCACAGGCACAGCAAGCAGGCAACAGCGTTGAACCAGTAATGATTGAGGCATAGTCATAGTCGTTTACCAATATCCATCAAAGCTGATCTGCATCGCTCTCATTGCGTTTGTTCCCATCGTCGCCACTGCTCTCTCTGTGCCCTTATCGGGACAAGGACGTCAGCTCTGCTCCACATACAGACACTTGACGAGCCTAGACAGTATACCAACATAAGGATCTCCTGTGTCGGGTATACGAACTACGAACCCTCGAAAGGAGGGCTTCTACGCAACGCAATGAAGCGATTTTGGTGATCCCGTCCCAGATATTGCCGGTGCCTGTGAGCTTGCCCGGCTGGATCATTCCTCGCGTGTAGGCTCAGGGCTTCGGCCGAAACTAAAGTCTTTGTTGCGACTAGAAGTCGGTTCAATGCGAGAGGCTCCATTTCTGATATTGAAGAGAAGCTCACGCGTCTCGAAACTCTTCTCCAGTCCTGTAATGTTGGAGAGGATCCGGTGACTGCCTCCGCAGAGCCAGGAAAGCTTTGAAGGAGATTCGCTCTTAACCTAGATCCTGCAATCGCCAGGGGAACATGGCGCTGACCAGGGCTATCACTACAACTAGGCTTGTAACTCGTCGTCATGCGTATGCCAAAAGCACGGCGCACGCCGTTGCCAAGCCGCATTTGCAACCTGGAATCCTCAACATATAAATGACCATGCTGCCGATATGACCCGTATGTTAGCTATAGCACCACAAAAATAAAAGCAATATGCGAGAGACAAGAACAAGGCAAACCCAGGGGTGGCCTATGGTGAACGTCAAGTCGGTCCACTCCATGGAAATCTCCTTCCAGGGCTGGGGTCGGTCTCTTCAACCGGGGTACATTGCACTGCAGCTCCAAGCATGACTCACGACGCAGGGGGGGCACCGATAGTTACAAAAACAAGCTCTTCTTAAAGGGGTCTGGTCTCCTCCACATTGGCTTCCTGCGAGAGCTGCCGCGAACACTCCCGGACCTCGTAAGCGGACTTTGCAGGGTTTCGGAACCCTGTACCTCTAACGCGTTTGAAGATTTCGGGCGGTTTGCCTGGGCAGGGACGGCAGAGGGTGCTCGGGTCTCAACCCTGGAGATCCATGAGTCCAAAGCCCTGGAGCGCTGAACCCTAGGCCCTCAGCCTGAACCCCTTGCGAGGACTTCATGCATGCCCGAGTAGGCCCTAGACCCTATAGACCCCAGAGACAGAGGCCGCCGAGGCACTTGCCGCATCAGCCCAGAACCTCAAGCTCTGCACGGCTTGTGTCTATCGAGGAGTTTAGGTCACAAGGCTTGTGGTTTAGGCTTTATAGGATCTATACTTTGTGCGGTCTCTTTGTTGGGAAGAGCGTTCGCGGTTCAGGGCGTGTGCTTTTAGGGCTTCGAGAGTTTACCAACGTGCTACTAAGCTTGCCTTCTGGATTCAGGGTCAAGGTTTTGAGAGTGTCGGTTCCAGGGTACAGGGCTTGATGCAGGGTTCAAGTTGTCTGCTCCTACCGCGCTTGGGTTCGAAGCTTGATAGGCTGTGGTTTCAAGTCGTTTGGGTGTGTGGCTGGATATAGAGTCGAGGGTTGTAGGGTCGTTAGAGACTTCTTTTGCAGAAAAGAAGCAAGCAAAGCTGCCTTCATTGATGGTTGCGGTGTGTAGTGCTTGCGGGGGTTGCAACGTGCAGTGTTTCACGGTCTTGGCTCAACTCACCATGTGCTTTGAGTTTGTTGTGCTTCGACGACACTGAACGCAGCCCTAGCGCGGAACATCCAAAACACTGCCTTCAAAACTCTAAACCTAGAGCCCAATCCCCTTGCTTTCCGAAGCGCTGGGCCCTCGCTCGTCTGGGAAGGTCGGCGTGTCGTCGGTGTCATCCACAGCGTCACGCCTTTGAAGCTCTGGGATCATCAGGAGGTTGAGGGTTTGTATCTTTAGGGTTGGGGTTTGGGGTGCAGCCTTAAGCTCAGGTCTCAGACATCCCCATGGTACTCATTGTGATGACAGTTTGAACTCAGCCCGGGCGCAGCCGCACGGAGAGATCCTCGGGCGTCGGCTTCATGGCTCCAGAAGGCAAGGGCACCCCACGCCCCACGTGGCAACCGAGAGACGTACACAATGGCGCCCCAAAGGCGAAATTGTGGGGAGGACCTCGAATTCTCGAAAGCCCAGGATTTTTTCTGCGACAGCTACCGTAATGGCTACTGTGATGCTTGAGCTTTCACAATCCACTTGTTGCACCTGCAGCTTTCATTCACTGTGGGGTGGCGGGATCGTCAAGCCAAGGATGGAAGCATGCTCCATGTGGGGGTGTCCTCGAGCCAGCAGCGGAGCCTTTCCCCACAAACAGCAACCCTAAATCTTCAAACTCTTGTTTCGGGCAGGTCTTCAGGCTTTACGGCTCTTCGAAGTAGGCTTAGGGCTGCATTGCGCCCTGATGCTGTGCAAGTTTCGAAGAAGGCTCCTTCGATCTAGAACCCTGTACCACAAACCTGTACTCCTAGAGGTGCCTTAGACGAACCATCGCTCCATGCATTGCAGTATTACAGGGCCTAGATAGGCAAAAATGGGCGGCTGCAGTTGCACAGAGATGATAACGAGGATGATGCCAGTAGGTGAGCAAAGGCACTTGGCGTGTAGGGTCTCGGCGGGCTAGGCTTTTCAATTAAGCATCGGTTTTAAGAAGCAGTGTAACAGTAATGAATGATTCAGGTCTCTTTTTGGGCCAGCCAGGCTTCCCCCCAAGCAGGGGTTTATGTACATCTGTGAGCGGTGAGCTCGTGCAGCAGTCACGGGCTTTGCTTGCTCTGCTCTGCAAAAAGAGTTAGAGGCCTGGGCTCCTTTTATAGTTGCTAAGGCCCTCAGCTTTAGAGTCAATCGATCGACTTGCATGCCTGTCTTTGCACAATCGACGGTTGTGGAAAGTTCATGAAGTTCATGGCAGAGCCTGCAGCAAAAACCCGACCGCGCACCGAAGAAACAACGACCACAGCTCCTGCCGGTGTTCGGCCTCCCCGCTGCCCTGTGAAGCTCTCGGACTTGAGATTTGTAGCCATCGAAGCCAGCTTGCATTTATAATGGGTCATTACTCAAGGATTGTAAGGGCAGAATCATACCGCATAGGTAACTGGGCTTCTCTGGGGTAGCTTCGTCTAGGTACGGTTGATGGCGATGGTGGTGATGTTGATGACGGCTGGTACTGGTGCAGTTGCTGCTGTTGCTACAGGAACCACAGCGAGCCCGTGAATCGAACCAAACACTGACTTCTGTGCCTTTGTGGAAAGCAGCTTTTCGCTTCTCTAGCGGACGCGGGTGTGGGCCAAACATTGAAGAGGCCACTGGCACACGACGGCAAAGCGGCATGTTGCATTGCCTTTGCCGTCATGGAGGACATTAACACTGCGAGCCTTTCTTGGCACGCAATTGATCAGTGTTCTGCCTATCCGAAGATAACATCTGTGGTGCAAACATGAAAACATGGGTTTTCTTAGATTTGTAAGCACATTGATTTCGAATGCTGGCTGCTGGTTCGGGGAGTCTGCTTTGCCGGGCCCAGAAGAGCCTGATGCAAAGGACTACCCACCAGCAGCCCGAGATGGGGATGTGTGCGCCTTGTTTGAGGTTCCTTGTGCAGTAAACTTCATCAAGCAACTGTTATACTACACTAAACTCTACTCCCGAGGTTGGGTGTTCCCAATCTTCCCCTCAAGGGGCCCCCATCACGGCACGGTCACAGTCAAAGAGGAAGCCGGTCCTCGGCTGGACACTTCCAGGTTCATGAGGCAAGCGCTAGGCTCTCGTGATGGGTTGATAAACTTCAGAATGAAATTCGCAAGCGGTAGCTAGGACCATCGATAGGGTCGACTTGGCCTGCATCAAGCTCCTCGTTTTCAAAAGGTTTCGGATTCGGATTTGTGGGTAGCTGCAAAGTCTGTAGGGTTCTACAACAAGAGTTTTCTGGCGTTGGCCCACTTCCGAAAGGCTAGGCTTTGGATTTCGGGTTGCGGTTCGTGAAGTCGAGGCGTAAAAAGCCTGGCGTTCTTGCTCTAGCATTCTAGCAAAATAAAATAAAACTATCTAAGGAGGCAGCTGTTGTGCAATCTGATGCCCTGCAAGGTTTAGGATGTCTGCGGCGCCTAAGTGTTTAAGGCATGGATTCAGCATCTAACGGCAAACATTGTAGTCGGTGTCTGCAAACTCAGGTTGCTGAGACCTCAAGCTTCAGGGCTTTCGCTTCAAGTTCCTGGGCGCTTTCGGGTGTGAGCCTCATGGCCGCGACTGTTGGATGCTGGAGCTTACTGAAATGAAGGCGGTGCTGTTAGGATTCACACGTCACACATTGCCAAGAGACCAGGTATTCAAGACTTTGAACACAGTAAAACCCTCAACACCGGAGGATCCTCAATCTCAAGAGACTTGAGACACGAGACCCTTTCAAGTAACTCAAACCATTGGCTGTGAAAACTTCCGCACGAACGAATTATATATGATCACATACCTCGCTAGCCATCAGTGGGTCTCCTCTACAGGGCTCAACAGGAAAACGATCTTCTCAACCGCAACTCGACTTGAAACTCCGAGCTGAATGCCAGAAGCCCTGAAGCCCCCACCCAGAAATTCCATACAATCCTTGTCACCGACGTCCCACAACCCCCTTGCACACCCAAGCATGAAATCCCAACCCGTCAGCAACGCTAATCGCCCCAATGATACCGCATGTATCGAATCCAGCCTCTTTTTCCGCAAGACTTCTGCTCTTTCCTACTCTTTGACTCCCGCGCCAAACCAGCCTGAATCCGAAACCCCAAAACACAACCCCCACAAACCCCTAAACCCTAAGCTCTAAGCCCTGAAAGCCCCAAACCCAAAATTTCGCTCCCAGCGGCCGGTGCCCACCGCATTGGCCGCCCGGACCTCGCAGGCCGCCGAGCCGGAGGAGGCTTGGAGCTCGTGGCTCAGGTCCTTGGAGCAGGGGCTGCGCGGAAGCCTTCATGACAGTACTGCTCATGGACAAAATCCTGCATGACCCTAAGGGCTCTAAACTATGGGAACTAGGGTATATTATCCTTATAATGGGTAATGCAGGATTTTGTCCATCAGCAGTATCACTCATATACCAGTGTAATGGACGATAATTGTGGTAGACTATGACAGTGTAGTATCATGGGTTGATATATTATAATCTACGAGAGTATATTCAAATATAAAATATGAACTGTCAAAATACCATGAATAATGATACAGTAAAAAGTTGAACGGCGACTCGAAGCGTTACCTCTGTAACAGATTCGTAATGGGGTGTTCGGAAGAATTGTCCAGGCTTGTCTAGGATTTATGGTACTGTTCAGGGCTTAGGCGCTTTCAAATTGGTTTGGGGTCCCTGGGTGATGGGTACCATTCCGGACAGGCACCTTGTTGACGTGGTTCTTGTCATCACCAGTGTGATTGTCTAATGATCTGCCTGATGATGGCATTGCTTCGCGGTTGTTTGGCATTTCAAGTGTCTGATTCCTACCAGGTCCGACCCCGAAAACCCAAAACAGCGTGATCAAGCATTATGAGGCCAGCCCTAAACCCTGAACCTCTAACTCGCTAGCCCCTGATCTTAAATCCCTGAAGCCAGAAACACTAAACTCCAGACTCGAAACCCTTAAGCCTGCTTTTTGTCTGCACCCAAACCGCTCGCCCTTGCCGCCCAAGCGGCCGTGTTCAGGACCTTCTCCCATGGATCGCTGTTGCAGCGGGCCTCGGGCTAAGGCAACTTTGTAGAATCTTGTAGAGGCTCTATCAACACTCTACAGTGACAGGGTCTCGCAGAGAAATCTCTGAGCACTGGCCTGAAAGACAGTTTGTGCCAGGCTTTCGAGCTTTAGGGCTCGGGGATTGACTGAAGGAGCGAGGGGGCTTGGGGTTAAGGCCACTACATGTAACGGCTCGGTTTATCCGGATATCGCCGCCACGTTAAGAACAACAACTTGCACGATCGTAGATATAGTAATGGTGCAAACTTGCACATTACGAAGCAGAAGCATCGGTCCACCTAATCAAAAGCCCTGTAATCCAAAACCTTAGCCCCAAGCCGCTGAACGCCAACAAGCTAGTCATAGTCAACGAAGCCCCAAGCGCTCTCGAAGTCCAAAATGTGACCCTACATCCTAAACACTTCACTCAACCCCCAACCCCCCAATCACATGAGCTGCTGCCTCGTAATGCGTGATGGGCACGAAGCCGTCCAGGTTGGGTATCTGCCAGCTCAGGACCTGCCGAGACCAAGGCCTAAAAACAAGGCGTCTTGTAGGGGTTCATCGGTGTGTCCTAGTGGATGAAAAGCTTAATGGTCTGATACAAGATTTAGTTTAGTTACATGATGGCTTTCAAGGGCTTTTCGAGGCTTGGAATGTGCCTCATAAACAATTTGTCTGACATGATTTTCAATAACAGTGAGACGTACACGGCTTTACAGTAGGATTGTCGATCAATTTAGCAGGGGTTCGCAGCGGCCCTTATCAGGGTGTCACAGTGTGTGGTACTCTCAGAGCCAACTGCTGCCCTGGAGGCCGCGACCCAGACAACCCAAAACAAAGGCGGCAACCATCCGAGCATGTCTGGCGTCTGTCACGCATGAGGCTCGAAAAGGCAGACTCGGGCATAAATCCACAGCACGCAAACCTTGAGATCTTGAGAGCACTGATTCTGGCGGGCGGCCACGGTGTCGTTTGCCACGCCGCTGAGACCGAGGGGCGCGCTGGGAAGCTGCCCGGTGCTCAGATGCAGCTCCTCTCACTTTGTGTTAGTTCTAGGGGTTCTGTAATGGTCCTATCGACCATGGGTGGCACTGTGGGAAAGGGGTTGTAGATATTTGGGGGGTAGGGTGTAAGGTTTGGCAAGAACGCACCAAGCGGTTTCCATTTGCCCTGGATCTGAACACTTCGTCACAGAGGTTGAGAATTTTGACTCCAGCCACTTCGTCACGGAGGTTGAAATGTTAGCCATAGACTGCATGCGGTCCAGCAGTTGCGAACGAATGTGGGCTTGTGCTGGAGGGCCTTCCTAGTACTTGCGGATGGTAGCTTGGAGGACTGGTGGACCTGACGGTGCGAAGCTCGATTGCATCTCCAGTGCTAGAGTGTTAACCCAAAGCCTGGAAGATAAGCCTTGTCCTGACACAGTAACGTCTCCCGAAACACAACGTTGTCATGTTCTTCCCATATCCCAGGCATGCACAGCAGGTCCGGGGTGAAGTCCCCATAGAAGCCGTTGTGATTCTTCCTGGCAGCTCTGTGATCCCAAAGTGTAAAACGAGTTGCCTCGTCTGTTCTCCGATGTCAGGCCGTTGGGATCCGGAAGTCAAAGGGTCTACAGGAGCTTACGGCTATGGTGGAGTGCTTCAACATGATTCAGGACACTGGGGGTACTTGGCCAAGACTGCAGGGGCCTAGACAAGCGCAGCATCGGCTGGATTCCATGTATACTGGGTTTGCCGAACACGGAAAATTGAGAGTGGTCCGTGCTTTGTGACGGGTTTACCACGAGCTATCGGAATTTCCGGCGTGTACGATGCTCAACTTGAAGCGGTGCTTGCTTGCTTACAAGGGTTTCGCAGCCTCCGGGGAAAAAGGCTCCAGCAGATTCATAATTGCTCTGGTCGGTCACCGTGCAGGATCGGGCTGGGAGCTTATGGGGCTTGGGGCCTTAGAGCGCAGTAGAGACTTGGAAGAAATTGAGAATTCGGCCGAGGCACAGTCGCAGTTTGAACGCCCAGTAGGAGTTCAAAGGCGTGCGCGGGAAGGTGTCCTCAGCGAGATCCGTATCCGTACCCTAACTCCTAAACCCATGCCCTAGTCTCTAGCCTTTTCCTGAACTTCGCCCGACACACGACATCACTGCTTAGTAATCAAGGTTGGGGGACTAATTACTGTGATAGGTATCCACCCTGGCAGAGCCTACCCCAATAGCAGAGAATCTAGCCAGGGTTTTTGTCCCGCATTCCCTCAAGGAGAGCCCTGCAGGTTGTAGGGCTTGGTTCGCTTGATCTTAGAAGGTGCGTTTCAACCTTTGGCAGGGTTCCGATTCCATGGAGCTCAATCTGAGCCCCGATCGACACCGGCAATTTGCTGAACAACTTCGGCCAAAGGCCAAACCGATTGCTTCCCAGGTACTTGGAAACCCTCTCAAGCTGAAGTAGGGCCTTCAAACCTAGCTGGTCTGGAAAGGTCCCACGGCGGAGAAGTCCTGTAGCGCACGACGCAAAACATGAGGATGCCTGCGCCGAGCCAACAACCACCATACAATCAAGAAAGCTGAAATCCGAAATCAACACCGCAAACTTCTGCAATCACGAACAACGGTTTCAAGCACTCTTCGCAGTGATATCATTTGTAGCCAGGCATCGATGGCCACCGACGGCGTGACAGCTACTGGTGGATCGCCCTCAGACGCTTCGAGCTTCAGCAGAAAGGGTTTAGGCAGCAAAGGGTACTTGGAGTTCAAGATACACTAGCGGGACACAGTAAGCCGGCCTAAGTCGGCACTTTATCTACCGAGCCGCACCCCAGCGGATAACCAATAAGACTCTGAACACTGCGCAACGGTCATTTCGCACAGCGACGCATTTACGTCCAGCAGCGGCGTCCACGTATAGTTCGAGTTCGTTTCTACCGGCCTGTTACCATATACGTGTATGTATTTGCTGCCGTTTCGTTTGTTGGCTGACGCCACCTCGGGTCTTTTGGCTTATTTTGGTTTCTCGAGGTTGAGGTTTGCTAGGTTCACTCCTCTGTGACATACGTTTGCAGAGGATTTGTTAATGTATTGATTGTGTTGTCCTCTCCAACATGTACAGGGAAGTTACAGTTAAGATTCCGGGACGACCCCAATTGCAGTCTTCGTTAAAACTTCTTAAACCCTTCGATAAGGCTGTGTTGGAGCATCCGCTAGGCGTAAAGTTCTCTCGTTCGCCAGTCGAGTCTGTTGCTTGGAGCTTCAAGCGGAGGCTCCGGCTCGAGAAAACCCCTCGACCCGACACTACGAGGGGTGTACATAGACGTTGTAGTCATAGAGGCGTAGTTCCTTGAATTCGACTTCCCAGCCTCGTGGGTGTTGATCTGAAGGAGGCTCTCCCAGCTGACGTTCCCGAAGTTTGGATGAGGCTTGCCTCAAAAGCTGAGGATAGCTGGGGTGAGGGCAGGATTTAGGCCCAAGGGCTGCCTCAGAATGTCATGTCTTTTCAGAAAGTTGTGTGATAATTCAGGAGTTGGGGGTTTGCAGCAACAGATTAGAGTTTTCAAGGCTTTCGGTTGAATACAGAAACGCGAGACTTTGAAGTGTCAGATATGCTTCCGCTGACGGGGACTGCAATCCTGAACACCGTTCGCTTCAAGATCGTTCGTATCGACGACTTAGCAGTTCGAATTCGACAGCATGTCTAGAGGTCCCTGAAACTCAGAAGCAGAGAGGGTGTTCTTCACAACATTGGCAGCTCTTGACACGGCTGCGGATCCGAAACGGAACCTTGCAGATATCGTGAGACATCCCAGCTAAACCCTGCTGCAGTCCTAAACCCTGACTAGTAACTCCAAGGGAGAAAATCTCACCCGCCCCTGCCCCTGACTGCAAAACCATCGGACAAAACTTCTATTTCCCACGTCCTAAACCCCAAATTTCGACACCCTACACACGCCCCAAACCCTCAATCCTCAACCCTGGGCCCCAAAAGACAGGCCAAGGTGCCCCAGATATCGTATTGAAAACCTAGCTCGTCCCAATCGCTGCTGCCGGCGATGGCGGATGTCACAGGATCCCACGCCTCGGATCGATTTCGCTTAACTCAGGGCTTCGGGTTTATGTACGCTCTAGTTTAGGCAGGGGTCTGTAGACCTTGGGGTTCCCGAGTTTCAGGGTTTGGTTTAGGGTTCGTTGTCCAGGGACTTTGAAGATCAAGAAGGGGGGCTCGAGCATGTAGGCTTGAGGATTTAGGTTTATGGCGGTTGGCTTTCAGTGGGAGACGTTCGTCGCAGGATCCCTTCGTCTTCCGAAACCTTAGGAACCCTTCCTTGCCTAGAAAAACGGGTTTAGGGAACTTATGGTTAGGGAATAGGGGCTTAAAGAGTGTAGGATTACGGGTCTAAGGTCCTTTATGATGATGATGCTGATGTTGATGTTGAGGCCGTGGTAATTATTTATCATATGCAACTGCGCACATGTTTGGTAAACGCCCCCTTGGATAAACTGAATGCAGAGAAGTCGATCCTAAACCCTGAACTCTGGTCCGTACTTGCCTGATGCCGACACTCCTAAACCCCACAACCCGGAACAATGGGAGTCCTCACTTCTACAGAAAGGCTTCCGGAATCAAACCCCAGGCGGGCCACCAGCTGCACAATGCCAGCCGTGATGTCCACGTTCGGATCCCGGACGAGCCCGGCCACGGTGCCTGGGACTGGGATCGGATTATTGCCCATCGGGGTCGGGGTTTGGTGCTGTTTAGGGTCTTCGGGACGGGGGCTTTAAGCATTAGGTTTGGGGTCTCACGGATGAAGGCCCAGAGTCTCCGGCGTTCTTGAGATTAAGCATGGGGCGGTAGAGTCTAAGCCAACCGCTTCACAGACCCTAAAGCCTTCTGAGCCGTTCAACCCCTGCTACCCAAACCCCTAAACATTACAACCTAAAGCCGAAAGCCTAGGAATACCGAAGATCGGGACCTGAAACCAATTGACCTGGGGTTTTCGGGGTGTACTACTGTTACTACTTCATAGGAACCCCGAGGAAGACTGGAGGCACTCTGTTTCAGGCCTCATAACTGAAAAGCTTCTGAGACCTTCGGGGCCGAGAGTCCTGGCCGAGGGATGCAGTAGGCCGTCGGCGACCAGTCCGACCACGCCGAAACCCCGAGCTCCTCAAAGGAGAGTTCATTGAGGCATGAGAAAAGGACGTATATTTGGGATAGGATTGCGTTCACCGGTGCGTAGTAAAAGGAACGGATTCTGGTGTAGCAAGAAAGCTGTATAGGAAATAGGTTCAGGTCTGTGGCGGCCTGGGCTTCGGAAATACCACAAGCCCTAAACCATGTTTGGAGTCTGGAGTATGCGGGGGCAGTTTTGACATGGTCAGGGTTTGTGGCGCTGCGCTGGTGGGATTTGTCGGACTTATAAGGCTGGGCCTTCGGGTTCGGGAGATTCAAACTCTCATTGGCTCTGGACAACAAAAGAAAGGGTCTGAACTTGTTTTGTGCTCTTGAAGAGTATCCGTTTGCAGCTTCTCGGCACTGATGCTTGTTGTACGGGGGCAAAATTATATCGAGCATCACCACAGTTTCGTAAGCATGTAGATCCTTTACTTGCTGGTTTAGTTCTGAAACAGGCCGCGGCACGTTCTCGGCGCGGATCGCCGCACGGAAGTGCCTGTCCCATGCGGCTTCAGTTGCTTTGGAACTCTGTTCGTGGTTCTTCAAACACTTCAAGAAACCATGTTGTGTCACCACCATGCCATGTTTTTGCAGGGGCAAGAGTCTATAGGGCTGAGGAGAGCTTCCTCCCTCCCTTTTTCGCCTCCCGTAGACCAGCTCGGGCCAGGAGTCCGAGTCCAGGGAGAGCTGCAGACCGAGGCGCGGCTCGTCGAAGGAGCCGTTCAAGATCCACACCTCCTCCACCTCAAGCCATAGTTGAGAAGCCATAGGGCTACATCGGTAGAGCCGGATCGAACACTTGACCAGGGCAAACTTAAGTCAAGCCATGCCGCAAGTAAAGAAGTCTCATTGTCTGACGCCTCGAGCTTGAACTCGTAGCTGTGCACCAGCCTTCCATTCCTCATTAGAATCAAGCTCGTGAAAACCCATGAACGATGGCAATCATCAAACGACACTACTGCGAGGACTGCCACCAAAGCTAGCGTTCCTGCAAAGAAGTGCCATCACAATCCTCCTCAGCATCATCCACACCCTCCACACTATTTTTCACCACAATTATCAGCTGCAAGGTAATTACAAGACATTACCGTCAGGTCAATAGCAAGCGGCAGCGGCTGCCGTTTCTGATTCATGTGCAGTAGACCGACAGCGCTGAACAGTTGCAACTGGACTAGCTACATTGGTAACATACCTTCCCAAATGAGGGAGGGGTGAGAAGACTGCTCCTAAGGAAGACCTCCGAATTGCAACCAGTTCACCGATTTCGATACTGAGAAAGCCTCCCTCAACGAGAAACTATCTTTCGGGGATTATTGGGGTCTTGGAGGATTAGAATTTCGGAGTTTGGCTTCAACGGGCGTCCAATGTGTTCCTTGTCTTGCAGTCAAACGACTCTGCCGCGGGATACCAGCGCCAGTTCAGGCTGCAATTGTCCGCGTCTGCCAACCACGGCGGCTGCACGGTTGGCACGGTGCCGACGGAGATCTCAGCGATGTCGCTGAGAGGCCCAGCGCCAAACCTCGATCATAGGTGCGGTACATATATATATTAAAAACTCTGACACCCCCGAACCTGTCAAGGATTTATCACAGACTCCTGAGTACCTCAATCCAGGGTCCCTTCTTCGAGAACCTTGTTGTATCTTAAACTTTCTATATCGTCATCGATGCATGTTGGGCTTTCTGGTTTCAGACCCCTTGACCCAAAACAGACCTTCTTACCCTCAAGCTGCAAAACAAAAGCATCAACGAGCTTTGGAGAACTCCCGCCTCGTTTTGCTATGACCCGAGCTGGCTAAGCGGACCCTCGAGGTCTGTCAACACCAAGGCTTTAGGGGTGGAGGTTAGGGGTTGTGTTATGTTGTTGACGCATGCAGGTCCAACACTCATCCGGGCAGCTGGTTCAGCGCTCGCACTTGGAAGCGGTACAGTGTGTCCGGCGTCAAGGCCGACACCGAACAGCCAGTAGCATCGGGCACCAATGACACGCTGACGAGATCCTTGCATCGAAAAGCGCATTCTTCAGGGTCTGACCGTTCTCAAGACACCGCAACCATCACTTGCTAAATGCAATCAGCCGTCGCATGTGTTGTTGACGCAATTCGTGGTGGCAGTGCAAGACGAATCTGGCTCCGTGCGCATCCTTGTTCCTGGGCCATCGTCCCTGTACCTCGGCGCTGGGACGTTCCATCGACCCTCTTTCTGACAAACAGTCGCCGTGGGTCCCGCTGTTCTGGTTTTCTATAGGGCGGGGTGCGCACTCTTCTACGTTCGAGCTCAAGGCTTCAGGATCTGAGCAGAGTCACGCTGTCGCAGACTGGGCTTGTAACGAGCAACGCGAAACCCCACCATGGTAGTGATCCCAGCTGTGGTATGGCTCAAGACTCAGATGATAAGCCGCCGAAACCCTAAGCCTAAAGCACCAAATGACCCCAAGATTCTATTCATCTAGAAGCCTGAGCAAATAACTGAGGTTGGGGCGGTTTCCATACAATTAGTAATGAGATTGAAGAAGTCCACGAAAGAGTACTACAGGTTACTCAGACAAGACGATGGTAACCCCTACACCCTGCACATTAAAACCGCATCATAGAACCCTGAAAGCCCTCAAAGTAAACCTGCCCAGTGGGCTCACTCGATTTTCCTGACCATAGGCAGATAATGGGCTGCTGTGCTGTACTGCAACGATACTGTAACCATACTATCCTCAAGAAACCCTCAACAATAGCCTACTGACCCTTCTTCAGTACCCTCACCGCCCAACGCCCACCAAACTCAGGCCCAGGAGCAACTCGTAGCCTACAGGCTGCCCGAAGTTCATATCGGGAGCTGTCCTGAGGACTACGGAGATATTTGCGGCTGAGGGTTGAGGGTCCGCTTTGGCGTGCTTTGGTTGTAGAAGAGGGTTTAAGGATTCCAATCAGGGTGCTGCCGTGGCCTTTCTCTTTTTTCTACTACAAGAAAGGGTTGAGGGGGCATGCGATTTAGGGCTTGGGGTACAGTGCTCTAGGGCATCCTTCAGAAAGCCTTACTGTCTTGATGCTGGCGGCGCGTTCAAGGCTTAATGTGTTCCTTTTGGGGGCAAAAGGGCAAGGTCTGGAGGGTTACGGTTGGGCATTTTCGGCTCAGTCGGGAACGTTGGCAGCTGCGGAAAGCTTAAGGCTCGGGCGACCTTCATCTTAACCCCACACCCTCCCGCGGTCCAACCGACATAGGCGACGCTGACAGTGGAAAAGTCGGTGACCAGCACAGGCGGGAGCATCTGGCTAGGAACTCCGCCTGCGTCGGGTAGGTTTCAGACATCCGAAGCGAAGCGACACTTGCCCTTACACTCTGGTCATTAGAGCACGTATTCATAGCCGTCGATGGAGTTACTAGTCAGGGTCCAAACACGACGGAGCAGCCACAAGCTGTCTCGAATCTTTCCCACACCCTAGCACTGCTCAGCACATATCTAATTAGCAGCCTCATGCAAACACTTCCTTCAGCTGCAGCACCGTGGCCTTCAGCATTTTGACCCGGCAAGCAGCCCTTTAGAAACCCTAGGCCTGCCAGGGTGGAGCTCCAACCGCTGTCGCGGAAGCCTGCGCCCACGAGGCTGCGCACTTGGAAGTCGTAGTGGGTGCCCGGCACCTGGGTTGTAGACTTCCTTCTAAGGGTTACCTTTAACGGTTCCTATAAGTGTAGTAATAGGGGCACGACAGGGTAGTATAGGGTTCCAGGGTAGGGAAACTGGATGAAGACCATAACCTTGGGTTGGTTGCGTGACGTATTCTCGCAGCAATACACTGCTGTAACCATAGGATCTTCAGACAAGCTCTGTTCTGGCACCGTCCCCGACTGAACACTCATGCTCTCCGTGAAACGACTTGCAACTCCGACAACGATGCCCAGAAACCCCCCCTAATCTGTCCCACCATTCTGGCAAAGACCGCACTTCACCGAGTCGCATAGCATGAATGAAACCCACCGATTTGCTAATTGCGAAGCGCTCAGCCGCTAAGCTGGACACCCTAGAATCCAAATGTCGGCAGCACCGAGTCGCCAAGCCCTGCAGCGCGTAGGACATCACGCTGGCGTTCAGGACATCGCTTTCGTTGAGGCCGTCACTGGAGTTGATGAGAATTTGATAGCCTGTCAGGGATTCAGGGTTCGGGGGCTTAGAGCTCTTCGGCAAATGGCGCGGTTAACTCGGCAATGTGAATAAACGGAGCAAGCAATTCACGTGACGCCCTTGCTCAAGGAAGCACTCCGTACCTAAAGCGCTTGTTCACCAGGGAAGCAAGGTTATGCAGCATGTGTGGATCAGGTGTGTTGCTACGTATCATAGCTGGCTACACCCGGATTGAAAGCCTGAATGCCCACGACCGGCGAACATCAGACCCCAATAACAAAGTCTAAGGTTTCTGGCTGACTTCGAGTTGGTGCATAAGCCCCGAAGCTAGGCTACCGAAACTACCTCCCTCTTAGCTTCGTCCAGGCGGCCGTAGACAGCACAAATGTAGTCGTGGTCTTCGGCGGAGGCATTCCAGCTCAAGTGAACAGACGTCGCAGATGGCAGGTATTGGATCACCGGAGTGGGTGGAGCTTCGCCTTCAAAGCAGCACAGAAACCGAAACCCCCGTGGAGCACTTTGGGAAGATTAGAGTATCCTGCTGCAGCTAGCAAAAAGAAACCTTTGCGTCCGAGCAGCAGGTTTGCGCATTCACTATGCCTCGGTTGCTCTGGCAGAGCGTTATGAACTCACTGACTTCACATCGGTACTTTTGGAGGCTTCATGGAGCTGCGTTTGGCGTCTCTTGGACTTGCGTGTTTCGGGAGTTTAGCGAGTTGCAGACTCTGATCTGCGACTACCAATAAGTCTGGTTCTGTCTGTCTCCAGAGATTTCGTAAATCCTGATGTTGAAGACCAACATGCTTTCAAATTTCGGAACGGCGGTTCCTGTCTAGTCTCTGTCTGCTCCCCCCTCGGAGATACGCCCTCGACCTTCTTCCCGAAATCTCTGAATACCTTACCGCCGGGGGTCCTGACTTCTGCAGTAATGCAGCCTCTGGGGATGTGGTTAACAACAAGAGGGTCCCACCGTGGTCTTCCCTGACCCCGGCACGCCGTCTAGTAGTTGTAGTAGCATATAAATGCCAAAAGGTTGAAGCTTTTCACTACTGAGCCTTGCAGCTTGAAACTCATGAAATCATGTTCGGCTACCGAGCTCATGTGGCAGGTTGTAGGATTAGAGCTCATCGGCTTCGGGCTTGGTTCTCATCCCCGAGCCATGTCCAAGGCGCTACTAGGCGGGGACTCGCCGGCAGGCGTCACGGTACCGACCTTCAGTCGGAACCACCTGCAACAGGGCAGAGGCCTAGGACAAGAAGGGTGCTGGGCTGCACTTGGTTCTGGCAAACTCCGCTAAAAAATTGATGACCTGACTGCGATTTCACGAACTGTTAAGGGCAACTCCAGACCTTCCCGGCGTGAGAGGATAGAGGGGTAGGATCACGGTCTCGTTGTTCTCGTCGAGGGCCACCTCCTGCGGCAGGCGGTGGAGTCGGGGCCTTCCGGGCTGGGGTTCTCTTTCGTTCTCCTGTTGCCTACTTCGGATTTGGAGGGTTTTAAAGGGTTTGGTCCAGGGTTCCGACGCCCGATTACGGCCCAGTTACAAGCCGAGCTGCTAAGTTCAAGTAAGACACCGGTAGGAAGGGCTGTTGACAAGCCCGATGCCCGATCCCCGAAATACAGGTCTCAAAACCCATAAGTCATATAGCACCCTGAAGTGGCCCTGAAGGGAACCGCTAAACCCTAAGCCCAAAATCCAGTAGGAACGCCTGAACCCCTCAGGCCCAAAAGCACCTCAACCGTGGGGTCGCGAGGCAGGCTTCGACAGGGCTCCGGGACGTGTTTCCAATATCCCAAGAAGGGCCCCTTAAGGCAATGGGGCCCAATCAGGGTCTGTAACACCAACCACACAACCCGGAGTTTGATCAACCGGTTTGGATACCCTGAGCTTGGGGATTCGGGGGCGAGATTGATGACTTGGACTGCAGGTTTCAGGTCTCCGGGGAAGCCGAAACATGGCCCTCCCCATAGCATTGTGTCTTAGAGCAGCCGAAAGCGCCAAATGCTACTTATAAGAAGCCTCGATTTAAAAGCCGACTCGGTACTCCTAGACTAAATAGATGAGGGCTCCTCTGGTGCCAGCTCCCTGTAGAGGTCCAGGTTGCCGCCCATGCCGTCGTCCATGTAAATCCTCTCTGAGACTATCTTCGTCTGCGGGGTCCCGCAGGTTCAGGGAGATGCGAAGACTAGGGATTCTGTCTGTGATGTCTCCAGGAAGTCCATCACATGATTGTAGACCGGTCGGGGTTGTCCGGCTCACTGCCTAACTCATCAGTGGCACGGATGCTGGAGCCTCGTTTCCGCTGGGTCAGAACCTCTTACACCGAAGAAATGACTTTTAGACCGCGATCGCTAAGCTTCCTCAAAGGCCGGGACCCATGATGCAACGATGGGGACTCTTGGAACTTCAGGTGGAGACCTCAAGCTACAGCACCTACATGCTCAAGTGCTAAAGCTGAACGTCGGCTCCCCAAGGTCCTGTACCCCAGAAGGGGAGCGCCAAATAGCTCCGGCGATGGCCACGTGATCATGATCCTTGGGGAGTCAGTGGATCAGAGCCTGTGACCTGCAGGCCGTGAGGCGTAGATTTGCCTTCCTAGGGTTTGGTTAATGTGAGCTCGGAACCCCTTCGGTTGTGGTACGGTAGGCTTTGACTCAGCAACACAAACCCCCAAACCCTGGTTTAACCCTAGAGCCCGCAAGCCCGGAATCCGGAAGCAACACAGAGGCGAGAACGAAAGGCTCCGCCGAGGATCTGCCGCGCGTCGGAGGATCGCACCGTCACGACCTGCACAAAGCAGGTACCACTTCTCAAAGAAGTTCAGTCATCGTTGATCGCGGCTATTACAGTCCAGGTTTCAAGCGCCGCGTTTCAAGCTTACAGCACACTAGTGCGGGCACAAACCCAAACCCAACGTCAACAGAAAGCCTCGCTGATCCAGATCGGAAGTCCACGGCCCTGTGTGGAGGAAGCCCTGAAGACTTCCAACCCGACCTCCTTACTTTCAAAGCCAGCTCACTAAGAGCCCGCAAGAAGGAGTCTCAAACTAAAAGTTTAGTACTAGTATTTCCTTCTCGAGCTTCCGGAGCTGAACTTATCGCCTAGGCACAGGCTGAGCCGGCAGCGGGGAGCAAAAGAGAGTCGCCGGGATAGACAGGTCCTGAGCTCGGGATGCATCTGGGGCTGGCGGGCTTGACTGAGCACAGAAGGACTACAGAACGCAAAGCAACAAAAGAAACCTCCTAGGTGCTAGGTGACCAGGTGTGGCGAACCTTTCGAAGGCTTCATGTTTTGAGTGTTCAGGGTCTTGGGAATGAGGGGTAGCGTCTTGGTTGCAGGGCGTCGACCGGCATCCCAGACCTTAAGCAGTACGCTTCGAGTTTCAATGCCTGTTCGACTTGTAGGGCTCAGGACGTCTTGGTGCAGTCCTCACTACGCCGCTACACAAGCATCCCCTGACATAGATGACAACACTATCGTCAGGAGGTCATTACGAAGCACAGTTTCAGTCTCGGCATGCCCCCGCAGTACTTAAACACTACCCCACCCACTTGCTGAATCATAAACCCCAGCTCCTGGACCCTACGCCGAAACTCATTCCTAGATAGGTAGATAGATAGATAAACAGATAGACAGATCGACGGATGGATGGATGATGGATGGATGGACGGAGGGAAGGATGGATGCATGGCAAAAGGAGATACAGGCCCAACATGATTTTAATGTCGGGTTCTGGGGTCACTGGGGTCTTCTATAGTAGAAGCTTTTTCGTTACCCGTCATTAACCCTGTGGCGCAATATTGACTCATGCCCTTTTTCAAAGCATGACAACTCCCCTTCTCGAGATGTTTCAGTCAAAGGACGCCAGACCCCGAGGCAGCTGTCAGCGAGACCTGCCAAGAAGCTTTGACGCGGGGGGCCGGAAACCGCCACGAAACATCCCGTTACGGTGGGCGTCTGGCATATGTCGAGTCTTGTTTACACGTGAGGGCGCGTTCACCGAATCTGGCGGGTTGTCAGAGTTACTATGTGATGGGCAAATCATTGCTCTAACTTAGACTCTAAGAATAACCCCAACCTGAAACTCTGAAACCTCGAGTGCTAGTTGAGCAGTGCTTCCAGGACCAATCTCAAGTCTCCTTCTCTTGAGGAAGTCCTGAGATCTATAATAATGGTGCAGGTATCCATGGTCCTCCAAGCGGAATGCCCGGGGTTCAAGTCTTTTGCCATGCCTTTCGATGTTTTGGGCTTGGGAAGGAAGAGGGATCCTCAAACAAAGTAACGAACACGCATCCCATGCCCAGCTTGGGGCCTTCATGTACACGTAGCCGAACGTCTGGTCCACGATGGTGGGATTGCCATCACCTTGGATGCCCCCCCCCAAAACAGGGTGCCCTGTCGTAGGAGTTTCATGTATCACCAAAACACGTCATCGAAAAGCTGATCTGCAAATGGAGCTGCGGTCGACCTGAGCGTAATCTGGCGTCTGGCTGCAGTCGTGCTCATACCTGAGCCACTTGAAAGTTCCTGGGGTCGAAAGCGGTTAAGAGGGGTCTGAAGAGTTATAGCTACATGCTGGTGACCGCCCCTGATCCTTTAAAGTAGAGTCAATGCTTCAGCTCCTGGGCCCCTTCAGCATCAAGTCTTGCCCTGCAGGCCCCTGGTCTTCGACGGCTCCCCCTACATCCTGAAGCCTCCTCAACCCCATCCGAAAAAAACTTGGATGCGCCAATTCCTTGTGAGGAGCATCGCGCGGAGCCCGGGAGCTCTCTGCGCGATTTTCAGTTCACGTGCTGCAGGGGCTGGGCTTCACGGAGATGGCGCTGAGGCTTCAGGTTGAGGCCGTTGAAGGACGCTGCAGTCTGCTCTGTGTGTACGATGCGCCGACACCACGCATCTTGTTCCGAATGCTTAGAATTTTAAAAGGACACGGGTAACCAGTGCTGCGCAGCTGCGTGTAGCCGCTGAGACTGCTGAGCACCTGCACTTGTCTCTGCGAGTTGGGGCTAGGAGAGAGAGAGCCCGGAACATGCCAATTTTCCCAGTAGCTTTCTTACATACAGCCCTGCAGCCGAGCCATTCGAAACTGCGTAGTAGTCATGCCCATCGTTACCGCTTGCGATCTCCCAAGCGCAATTTCTTGGAAAAGAGGTTTGGGGCTTTCAGAGTTACTGGGATTTAGGCGAGGATGTGCTGGAGTCTGGTGTGGTTCGGCATGTATTGCACCGGTCCCATCATCGCACTACCTTTGCTGAAGCGTAAATTTGCAACGGTTCCCTGGCCTTACTGGCCTATGTTCCCAAACCCTCAGCAAGCAGTGCTGAAAGCCTGAACTCGTGAAACCCTGAACCAATCTGATCCCTGCGGCTAGACTAGAGGTCCTGGACTTAGTTCAACAATCGCAGAGTGCACTGCTTGGAGCACAGACAGTCCCATTCCGCAAGATATTTAGAAACACATCATTCGAGTTCCAGTGTAGGCTTCTGATTTGCCTAGGTGGGCTTGGGCTGAAGCTTGTCGAACGCGACCTGTGCGGGCGACATTGCATCGGGCCAGCCACGATCGTCCGCTGTAATGTAGAGGTTGTAGTCTGGTACATCGGCCCCGTCACCTCATGGGCAAAGGAATAAGGGTACTTAATTAATCCGGGCATGGCCCTGGCACTCCTTGAACATTTCCGGAAGCTCTTTGCAATATCAAGCGCACAAAACCCATTAGCGAGTGAGCTTTGGGCATCAAGTTCTGTGCACTGTGGGGCAACCGAAGCCTTCCCGTAAGCCCGGGAACTGACAGAGATCACCACAACCGTCATCTGACCAACATTCTTAGGGCAAGTCACTCCACTGCCGGTTCTGCGTCAGTGAAGAAAAGCCGATGCGCAAGATCGATCCGTCAGAGTAGACGTAGGTCGGTGGATCCGGTGTTTCGGAGACACCTGCAGGGCTTTCCGTGGACATGCCTTGGGCGTGAAACTTCATTGGACGTTCGCCTGTTTCGCTCAGCGGCTTGACTATACTGCTCGGTCTGCGGCTTTGTACAGATTTCTGTTCGGGCATCGGTGAAGCCCCGCCCAACTGCTGGGGAAACTTGCACGGCGCACTTTTCCAACTGCGAAAACAACATGTACCTCATCGCAGGCTGCTCAAGCGATCCAGACATTCACCTCAGACACGTGGCAGGGCGTTCAGGACACGAGGAAGCAAGCCGATCCAACATCATCACCATCATCATCATCATCACTATCATCATTCGGAGTCGGAGCCCGAGTTGACAGGACGAGGATGAAACAGCGAGTGCTGCAAAAGCTCCTTGGGACTTGGCCTTGAGCCCCGGCACCAAGTCAGCATCTTCACAACCAGATCAGCTGCCAACTCATTGAACTCGTCATCTTCGATGCACTCACCTAGCCTGAACTCGCCGTAGGAGGTCAGCGCGGCAACTGGATGCATGCTTTCCAACCTTGTCCTCAACCGTGCATATTCAGCGACCCGTCCGCCGATCAGATGATGTTTTTTCAAGATCAGCTCCGCAAAGACAAGACCAGCGCTGAACACGTCTCTGCGACGTCCGAACCTTGTTGCACCGTACGGGCTCCGTCCAGGCTGTGGAAACAACACCTCTGGCGCCGCATAGTGAGGACTCCCCCAGTACTGAAGCGATGACCCCTCCTGTCCTTGGTCAATGAGCTCATGTCTTCGGACTGCCGATTCAAAGTCGATAAGCGCCAGCTTGCCCCGAGAATCAAAGATTGCATTTGGCCTGGAGCCTCCTTTGATGTTGCAGTGCACGATTTGACGACGCCACAAAGCATCCAGTGCCACCAGCATCTGTCTCATGTAGCTGAGGATGCCGTGTCTGTCTCTAGGATACTGGTTGGTACCCAGGTCCGGAAACACAAGCGTCATGGTTCCGAGCGAGTCATAAAAATGCCCCTGAATCTGCACCACGTTGCTGAGGCCCTTCAAATCCTTGTAGTATAAGCTCAATTCGTAGACTAGCTGATCGTCTAGTGACTGGTGTGTGGGCATCGTTTTCCGGAAATACTTCTTGAACACTAACAGGCGGTCTTTGCGACGGCAGCGCTCCACCGAAACATGCAAGTCTCTCTCGTCATGAAGCTGCTCCTGCTGCGATGCATCTTGAAACTCGGACGCCGTCATTGGAGACTCAGGCATGGCTGCGCTCGGGCTCACGGACACCCTGTGCCTATCAAGAGCAAGATCAGAAAAACGCAGACGGCCCAATAATTCTTCACGAACCTGTTCAGCCTTGTCTTCCGCCTCCCCGTGTGGTTGAACCTTCACGTGCGGCGCGGCACCTGCATGCACAGATTCTAGCCAAGCCCGAATACGTTTGGCTCCATACCTGGCATAGCCATGCGTGTCGCCGGAGTTGTGAACGTCAATGGTGCAGGCTGTCTCAGCACTGCCGGCGCTTGAGGCCGATACTCTGGATGATGCCGATGACATGGGGTGCTGGCCGAGCCGGGAAAACCCGGCTCCAGAGGCACGGTTGCATGAATTAAGCTTCAGTGCTAAGCCTATCTAGCTTGCTGCCCTCGGATGTTTCTAATGGTCTGAAATGGTCAGAACCTGTTAACACGTCACACGCTGCACTTCTTGCGTCCGCAGTCCCTGACTGCTGCAAATGGCCTGTTCTCGGGCCTCAACGCTTCTGAAACTTCCATTGCAGTTCCTCCAGCATCCCGGAGCTTAGGCACGCAAAATATTGCATGTGGGACAGGCGATGCCGGAAGCTGGCAGGAACGATCCTCATGCGCAACAGCCTAAGAGTATGGAGTCGAGCTCCCCTGGCTCTAGCCTTCTCCCTGACACGAACGACACGACACCCCAACTTCGAAACTGTAGCCCCAACGAGACCCCAGGTCGTATCTTAGGATCCCAGCCTGTGCTCATGTTGACCTGCCAGTCGGGGTCCGGGGAGATGCCCGACTCCGTGATCCTCAGCTGAAGGGGCTGATGCTGAGCGCACGTAGACTCTGAGCGTCTGGGTTTGGACCTTCACACTCAGGAATGCCCCTTCCAACGGAAACCTGGAAAAGCATGAACTTAAGTTCCTTCTGAACACTGGGCCCGCATGCCGCAAACCCCCCAAGCCTGAACACCAGTCACCAGACCCCTAACTCGATGCTGTAAGGTGGGCGTGGTGGGTATGTGCAGCCCAGCATCGCTTGCACCTTGAAGGTGTACGTGTGCCAAGCCCGAAGGCCTGTGACCTAAGCAGGGCTTCCGGGTGTGCGGCTAATTAAGCCCAAGCAGATGCTGCTATGTACCTTGATTAGTCAACTGAACCCCATAATCTTTCTATCCCGCGAGAAGCATTAAGGAAGGAGCATGGAAAGCTTCAGAACCAGAACGCAAGGGGGGCAGCGCAGTAATGATTCGCTCCGGCCCCGAGCTGTCAGAGGCACCTTTTCCCCTTCGGCCCATCTTGTGAGTCCCGGGGAAGGGGCCCTGACCGGGCCGAGACGGACGACAAGAAGCATGTACAAAGTTGAAGAACTCTCTTGTAATGTATCGCAGTTTGACGAAGTGTGGCTGGCCGTCTCCCTGAATCACGCATCTCTTCGTGATGGGTATGAGTGGTTTCACTTCTGTAGGTTTCTGACGCGGCAACGATATGAAGTGCACACCTGTACACCCAAAACAATGAACCCAGATGACCTCTCAACCCTAAGAACAAATGACTGCAAACCTTAAAGCAAAAGGAACTGTCTGACTTTCAGGAACGTCAGTGAGCAGAGGCGAGCCACGTTGTAGCGCGGGTGGAGGGTGGAAACATGCACCGACTTCTCCTCCACATGAACTCCGTCGGTGTAGTGCGCATAAGTCCTGGCGTGCACATCCTAAGGTTCAGGTATCCGGGCTTTGGGTTTGAATGGTTTAGGGGTTAGGGTTTAGGTTGTACTGTAAGGTCTGCTGTTCCCTGCGTCAACTGTGTTGTCTTTGCGACGGAAGACTCATGAAAGAGCAGAATAACGGAGGCCGGCCGAGGATTGCTCCTGCTTCGAGGTACTCTCGGGGCACTCAACGTCTACGTGCGCGCAGGGTTCAGGGCAGTCACCGTACTGATATATCGGGCAGCTGTGAGTGGAAACAAAGAATTCGTGTGCCAAGACCCTGATGTGCACTGAATTCGTATGGCTTCCAACATACAAGATCTTCTGGATCGCTTCCGGGCGTCAAGATGTGGCCCAAGAGCGTCGCATTGTGGAGGTCCGCAGGCTGAAACTCCAGAAGGATGGAGGTGATGTCACTTCCGACCTGCCGCGGGGAGGGGGCAGCGGGCCGCATAGGGTTTAGTGAGGCTCGTATTAGAAGTGCTGCAGGTGCCGCCGTAGAATGGCACTTTACATCTATGAACTGCAAAAGCCCCTAGGCCCCTCAACCACAAGCTCGCACCCACAAAATCTCCCGCTTAGCCTGCGTGCCAAACCACCAAAAACCGGTCAACCCTGAACTCCTTTAACGCCGTTCATTCTAGCCCTTAAACCCTACTTAACACCATCAACTTCGGATTTCCAAAGCTCTTAAAGCCCGGCCTGGATAGGTGCCGGCTGCAGGCCGGGTGGAAGGGAGCATCTGAGAGCCGCCGCATTGGAAGGCGGACCTCTTCTGAGAATGGTATAGAACTTTATGGGGTCGATATAAGGAGGCAGCAGCAGCAATTTGGAAGTGGATTTCTGTTAGATAAGGTTTTGCTGGAGTTTTATCAAGACTTACAGAGGGTCTTGCAAAAGTTTCATTAGGTTTTTTGTCGGGTTTTACTGCATAGGGTCTTGGATCTTCAACCATCGAAGCTGCATGTACGGAGACAGTAACTGTAAAATTTGCAGACCCTAGGTGATTGTTGGTGCTGACCAGAGTCCGGAACACAATTCAGAATCTAGAAGGTTAGATTGGGTCCCAGCTTTGGTAGGCTACAAAGTCCTCAACAGCATTTGTCAGACATGGAGCTTAGAGGTCATGGGGCTTTCATGTCTAGCCCTGCGTGTGTAGAACCTGAGGCACCTCGCTGATCCTGAGCAACTTTGGCCCCCGCTACACCTGAATCCTATAGCACCCTGACAGTACCCTCGAAGGAACCCTTTCAGCAACTCCCTACTGCACCCTCAGGCAGCCTTCGCCGACGTTGTTTACAGCCGTCACGCGCAACCAGAAGGGCACCGTGACCTGCGCAGCGCAGGGAAAAATGAGTGATTAGTCGTACAAACAATACCAAGAAGAATAGCTTCTCCTGGCTGTCTGACAAAATTATGCTTTAGCGGACCCCATCCCGCGAAAACAACTGTTCCAATGATCAGTGCTCCTACATTACCCAACTACACACAAGTTGAAGCTTGGGCTGGATCTCTAGGATTACAGTAGAGCCGACTTTCAGTATACAGCCCGAGATCACTATACCGTAAATCATAAGTTATGGGGTTAGGTGTGGGTAATTTTTCTGATCCTTGGGGCAACAAAGAAGGGGTGTTAAGCTAAGGGGTGCTAGCGGGGTGGAGGGCTGTACATTGTCGGGGTGACTTACTATTGATATTGGAGGAGCTAAGGTGCCATGGATGATTATAATCCCTATTACACAAAGGAGCTAAAGAGCCAAGGGACCCCCAAAACCACTGATATTGGAGGAGCTAAGGTGCCATGGATGATGATAATTCCTATTAAACAAGGAGCTAAAGAGCCAAGGGACCCCCAAAACCACTGATATTGGAGGAGCTAAGGTGCCATGGATGATTATAATCCCTATTACACAAGGAGCTAAAGAGCCAAGGGACCCCCAAAACCACTGATATTGGAGGAGCTAAGGTGCCATGGATGATGATAATTCCTATTAAACAAGGAGCTAAAGAGCCAAGGGACCCCCCAAAACCACTGATATTGGAGGAGCTAAGGTGCCATGGATGATGATAATTCCTATTAAACAAGGAGCTAAAGAGCCAAGGGACCCCAAAAACCACTGATATTGGAGGAGCTAAGGTGCCATGGATTATGATAATTCCTATTAAACAAGGAGCTAAAGAGCCAAGGGACCCCCAAAACCACTGATATTGGAGGAGCTAAGGTGCCATGGATGATGATAATTCCTATTAAACAAGGAGCTAAAGAGCCAAGGGACCCCCAAAACCACTGATATTGGAGGAGCTAAGGTGCCATGGATTATGATAATTCCTATTAAACAAGGAGCTAAAGAGCCAAGGGACCCCCAAGTCGACCCGCCAGGTTGGTTTTACAACGATATCAAGCTCGAAGCCTCCTTCATCGCCCAGCCAAATACCTGAAGACATAAATGACACCACACCCCAAACCCCAAAAACAGCATCGCTGACACAGCTTCGTGTTGAAAATCCCTGCGGCGATGCCCTTTTTTCATGCGAGCAACCACGGACAGCGCTGCTTTGTAGTCTCTTCGTGGGCATCCCACGCCCAGCGTAAGACCGCCATCAGGGCTACGCGCGACGATTTTGAGTCGCCAGGGACAAAGCTTCTGGAGTGAGACCGGGGCGGCGCGCACCGGGGATATTTCACTTCCCAGGCCCTATCTGTATGTACTGCAATCGTACAGTATGCTACCTGCGGCAGATATTTCTTTGCATGCTCAATCGTCTCGACCTTGTCAGGTATTGGCTGGCGAGCCGTGGACGAGGATGCCAGAACGTTCGAGCGCTGTGGAGCAGTGCGTGCTGGGTGTCGCTGGATCAACTTGGCTGCTGCTTGCTCGAAACCAGGCACAGGCGACACCAACCACTAGTGATACCTTTAGAACCTAGCACAAATCCTGGACGAACTGCCGCCAAATGTATCTACGCCAAGCGGCATCGATGAGCTTCGTAGCCGTGTCGATGGCCTGGCTTGCTTCCTGGACTGGATCTTGCAAATCGGCATCTCCCAGGTCCTTCTCAACGATCTTGGCACAAGAATCATCAAGAACGGTGTCCTTGAAATACGCGCAGGACATTTAAGGTCTGGGGCTTATAGACAGCGAACGGAACAACTGCGCTTTGCCACTCTCTTTGGTGAAGTTTTCGCAATCACACAGAAGTACACACAGCAAGACTCCACAACTGCACCCAAGCTGCCAAATTTGGCATTTTCCGATAATTTCGCAGTTCGAGAATGTCGTTGATCTCTTGGTCCGTGCATTTTGGCAGGAAGTGCCGAACAGCCAGCTCCAACAAATCTTTTTCCAGCGTCGGCTTGGTCCTGAGCCGTCGAATGGGTTGAACGAACAACGGATGAACGACGGCACTACCTACTCGCAATACACATACATTGCAGAAAACGAGCCCCGTGCCGCGTCTTCCATTTGATGTTATACATCTGAATCAATTTGTTGAGGTGTGTCACTGTCAGCCCCTTGAAACCGTGCAACGCCGCATGTGCAGTCAGCGAGGTCACCTTGCAGCTGCGGGATCGGGTTTAGGGTTTAGGGCGTAGGTCGGTCTCGCAGGTACTGTTGGCAGGGAATGATGGGTGGGGGGGGCAAATGGGAAAAATGGAACAGCAACATCTGCTATTGCACAAGTTGCCCCTTGAATCCCAACCATCACGGGGCAGGGCTTACGCGTAGAGGATCAGGCCACAAGGCAAAGGCATCCTAGAAATATGACCGCAATGGGTTGATAGCACGCTTTGAGAAATAGTTACATATTTTTGCCAAGCAGGCCTCCTTGGGATTCATGGCAAGCGTGATGCCTTCCCGTGGCCTCGGTGTCTCGACTTTAAACTCTGCGCATTTCCACGCCTTCGGATTTGTAATGAAAAAGAACTGGATTGGGCCCAGGTTGTCCATACTCAACTGAAGCCAGCCATCAGACAGCTTTGGCATCTTGCACCGGCATGTTTGCACCACAACCCCGTACTCCGTACCGCCGAGCACCAAACCACCCGCGGCCTGTTCAACAGTACCAGGCTGTTGGCGAATGAGCAGTGTGCCAACTCTCGGCAAAAGCCCGCACCACAGATGTTGCAATTGGGCAAAGTCCTTCTGGCACCAAAGCATTGCCTGCCACATGAGCGGCTGCAGGAGGGGTGCAGAGTCCGTCACCTTCAGGGCACTGGCGGTTTGATTGCTATCCGTTGCGGACGGGTGAGGCCAGGGCAGCGCATTCTGGATGTTAGCAGGCTGCAGCAACAGCAATCCGAACCATTATATTATTATATTCACAACACAGCTCAAGGCACCAACGCACTTTTGCCGTCCATGTACTCCTTGAGAAAATCATCTGGCAAGGAAAAATTGCCATGGGATGTCGCAGCGAAGGCTGGCGCTGGCAAAAACGTTGGAGCCACCATCTTAGCCAAGTTGTCCACAGGCAGCCGTGCTCTGTCACTGTCCTCCAAAAGCGTCGAACTTTGCACCCGGTGTGTTCTCGCAACTCTCGATATGTTGCCTTGCTTGTCATGCCGAGTTCGGTCTCGGCAGCAGTTGAAACTGTCTTCCACGATCTTGCTGGATTTGAATGCCATGGCGACTTGTCCAATCTCTTCCCGAATGTCATTCGGTACGTTTTTGAAGTCGGCTTCTGCCAAGCCCAGCATAACTTCTCTTGGCCACACGGACTGCGTCCACTTGATGGCTGCAAGAAACGCGGCCACAAGGTTGTCGTCCCTTGCCGCCAACTCCTTCAAGGAGAGAACTATTGGGAGCATGCATGACGAAGGAGTTCAGGCTTGGTTACTAGGGTTCAAGGTTCCTGAGTTCTTCGTCGTCCTTGGTTGGTCCTTGATGCTTAACAGACGACTTCCAAGGCCGATCCCCGCAACAATCGTAAGAATCCAACACTTCGACAACCCAGAACTGCTCACCAAGAACTGTCCCCGGTGAGCTTATGTCCACGTCTGTGCCCAAGCAATGCATCAAAACTCCTAAACTGCTTTAACCCAAGCTGCTGCTGCTTCCAGGCACTTCCACCACGAGGACAACTGGTCCAAGCAGCTTTGCCTGACCGACCTTGGCAGACTTCTGAACCCCTCCTAAAAGTTAAACTTTTAGCCTCCTCATTGTGGCTCATATAGAAACCCAAAAAGTTAAAGTCTAAAGAGCCAACCAGAAGAACGCCAAGCGACGTGGTGTCGCTCACCAGCGCAGCGAACTTGCCGGGAACGGAGTGAGAAAATCTCATCAAATACAAGAACTGTCGCCGTGCCAGATTGCACGCGTACGCGACGGCATGTTCGCATATCTCCGCCTCAAAGGGTTCATGATTACAGGTCCGATGTAAGGCTGGCATGGAGGGGAAACGAGCATTCCGCTTATCTACTATTTGCTTAAGAACCCCCAAAAAATAAAACATATATTCCTTATAGGGATAATATAGGGATTATCATTTTTTTATTTTTTGGGGGGTTCTTAAGCAAATAGTAGTTATCCCGGTGTGCAGCACTTCCTAATGTCTGCAAGCCACCTGGTCTGGTGCTGGCACAAGGAAACAGTCTTCGCTGCCAAGAAGACCCGCGATCCTCAGCGCCTCGACATCACCGAGAGCCGGCACGATCGACTGCAAGTAAGATTGGTAGCCGCCCTGTGCATTCTCGATGGCCCAGTGCGCACATCCACGCCTCGTCTTCTGGGTGACCAGGAACTCCTGATGGTCACCAACACTGCTGCTTCAGAAACCCCACCCTCACGACAAAAAGGATGGCATTTTAGCCGGAATGTGCTCGAAGAAGAGTTTAAGCAGAGCAAAAGGATAGCCGCTAGCCTCAACAAACACTCCAATTAGTGTCTCTGAGGCTCAGAATGCCAGCGCATGGTTGGTTCCGCGATTCGCGTCACCAGAATCCAGAGCCCTCGGAGAGAGTCGTTGGAAAAGATCTGGTAGCTGATGTGCAAGAGGTTCTTCAGCTTCTGGGCTTTGCTCTCAGTTTCACGGTTGCTGTCTCGGACAGGCTGACGCCCCTCTTCAGCGGCACTCTCCTTCTGCAGTCTCTTTGCGGCTTTTTTGGGACGCGGCAGTTTCGGTGTGGCATCTTGTTCGTGCACCTCGGACTGCTACAGAAGTCTACGGGGAAGTGGTTTTATGGAATCATAGAACGTCGATTATGTATGTCTTCGTACAGGCAGCAGCTACAAGTGGCAAAGCCCTTGTGTGGACGGAAGCAGCCCATGCAAAGACGATGCCGGGCCTATGCGAAGTGCACTCTAAATAAATTCGGTTTTGGACTCCCTGGAA